CCTTAATCAAATTTACCTTTATTTTAATCATAGAAACTAAAAATGCAATATATACAGGGTGTTCCATTTAAAAAATACAACTTTGATATTTTTTATTTATTTTGCGACACTCTGTATCTTGTAAAATATTTTTTAAATTGTAGCTCTAATAGTCCTTCAACGAACCCAAAACTTACAATTTGTAAAAATCTAATCGTTTAGCTACAATACTCCGTGTCGTATGTGGTGAACAACCCTGTATTATTTAAAAAATCAAAAGACTAATAAGATAGCTTTTCAACTATATATCATATTCTTATACCTTCTGGTTTTTTAAAAATTAATAATTAAGTAAATCACCCTGTATATATTTTAAACGACTTGACAATAATTAACTAACGAAGCCGCTTGATGGCATAAATTTGCGTCGAACAAACTCGTCGTCACAAATATTAGCCTGCTCGAAGTAGTGATGATCGAGACTGGTCTTGGTCTTGCACAAAAAGGAAGTCCAAAACCAAGCATGCAGGTCTCTTGCGATCTTGCGTGTTTTCCACGTTTATATGATATAAGAAATTACATATTTGCTCAAAATAACTGTTTTAATTTATAACAAATAGTTTTTTCCCAACTATTGCATCTACAGGGTTGTTCACCACATACGACACGGAGTATTGTAGCTAAACGATTATATTTTTACAAATTTCAAGTTTTGGGTTCGATGTAGGACTATTAGAGGTACAATTTAAAAATAATTTTACAAGATACAGAGTATCCCAAATAAGTAAAAAATATCAAAGTTGTATTTTTTTAAATGGAACACCGTGTATATTATTACATTTTTAGTTTCTACAATTAAAATAAAGGTAAATTTGATTAAGGTTTATTATACTTAAACCTTACCGTTTTTGAAATATTTTCAATTTTGTGAAATTGCAGTAAAAATTTTAAGGCTTCATTTCTCCAAGGGTATCAAAGTTTTTAATACTAAATATTTACTGAAGTTTATTTATTGATCAGTTATTGTGTTGCAATAATAAAAACTTTACTACCTTATACAGAGTGTCTAAAAATTTATTTTAAGTAATTACTAGCTTTAAACGGCAATAACTTGTTTAATTTAAATGGAACACCCTGTATATTTTATGAGAATCAGATGCACAATTTAATTGTCTATCAAATTGTATTATACCATTTTTTACCTATCTCTTCAAGTTTCCGTAGAAAATGCATTTTCTTGTAACTTAGAACTCATTTATCAATATACCCATGGAATACTGACATTTTAGATTATTTTTAAAGATATACCAAATTTTTAAAGAGTACAGATACTAATATAGTCGATATAGTTTGTTTATTTCATTAAAAAATAAATAAATAACTGTTAAAATATTTGTTAAAGAGAACCAGTTTATATGATTCCAGTATTCAAACTACATTAATTGACTGTTTGCGTTGATTAATAATAATTGCTCCAAATACTAAAAAACTGAATTATGTATGTGTATTAGACAGTGTGGTAAAAAGTAACACCTTAAAAATGATATTTAATTTTTTGACAAATGCTTATTTATAACAACAGAGACGTTCATTTCATAACTTATTAATATATTGATTTCTGATTCAGATCCACATTTATTTAGAATAATTTATTAACGAACACAATTAAGTATGTAGTTAATTAGTATTTGGGCGGAAATACTGGTGGTATATTTAATTAATGGTATACTCTTTTATAAATATTTAAATAGTTTTCTTTTTGCATACAAATGGGCTAGTAATATTATCGTTTTACTAAAAACGATAGTATTACTAGCCTGTACATTTTGTACATTTGTTGTTTTAAAAACAATCTAAAATGTCAATATTCCATAGGTATATTGATAAATGAGGTCTAAATTATAAAAAAATGCATTTTCTACGAAAACTTGAAGGAATAGGTAAGAAGTGGTATAATGCAATTTGATAGACAATTAAATTAAATAAGTTATTGCCGTTTAAAGCTAGTAATTATTTAAAATAAATTTTTAGGCACTCTGTATAAGGTAGTATAATTTTTATTATTGCAACACAATAACTGACCAATAAATAAACTTCAGTAAATATTTAGTATTAAAAACTTTGATATCCTCGGAGAAATGAAGCCTTAAAATTTATACTGCAATTTCGCAAAATTGAAAATATTTCAAAAACGGTAAGGTTTAAGTGTAATAAACCTTAATCAAATTTACCTTTATTTTAATCATAGAAACTAAAAATGCAATAATATACAGGGTGTTCCATTTAAAAAAATACAACTTTAATATTTTTTATTTATTTTGCGACACTCTGTATCTTGTAAAAATATTTTTAAATTGTAGCTCTAATAGTCCTTCAACGAACCCAAAACTTACAATTTGTAAAAATCTAATCGTTTAGCTACAATACTCCGTGTCGTATGTGGTGAACAACCCTGTATTATTTAAAAAATCAAAAGACTAATAAGATAGCTTTTCAACTATATATCATATTCTTATACCTTCTGGTTTTTTAAAATTAATAATTAAGTAAATCACCCTGTATATATTTTAAACGACTTGACAATAATTAACTAACGAAGCCGCTTGATGGCATAAATTTGCGTCGAACAAACTCGTCGTCACAAATATTAGCCTGCTCGAAGTAGTGATGATCGAGACTGGTCTTGGTCTTGCACAAAAAGGAAGTCCAAAACCAAGCATGCAGGTCTCTTGCGATCTTGCGTGTTTTCCACGTTTATATGATATAAGAAATTACATATTTGCTCAAAATAACTGTTTTAATTTATAACAAATAGTTTTTTCCCAACTATTGCATCTACAGGGTTGTTCACCACATACGACACGGAGTATTGTAGCTAAACGATTATATTTTTACAAATTTCAAGTTTTGGGTTCGATGTAGGACTATTAGAGGTACAATTTAAAAATAATTTTACAAGATACAGAGTATCCCAAATAAGTAAAAAATATCAAAGTTGTATTTTTTTAAATGGAACACCGTGTATATTATTACATTTTTAGTTTCTACAATTAAATAAAGGTAAATTTGATTAAGGTTTATTATACTTAAACCTTACTGTTTTTGAAATATTTTCAATTTTGTTGAAATTGCAGTAAAAATTTTAAGGCTTCATTTCTCCAAGGGTATCAAAGTTTTTAATACTAAATATTTACTGAAGTTTATTTATTGATCAGTTATTGTGTTGCAATAATAAAAAATAATACTACCTTATACAGAGTATCTAAAATTTATTTTAAATAATTTCTAGCTTTAAACGCCAATAACTTCTTTAATTTAAATGGAATGCCCTGTATATTTTAGGAGAATCAGATCCACAATTTAATTGTCTATCAAATTGTATTATACCATTTTTACCTATCCTACAAGTTTTCGTAGAAAATGCATTTTCTTATAATTTAGACCTCATTTATCGATATACCCATGGAATATTGACATTTGAGATTGTTTTTAAAGCAACAAATGTACAAAATGTACAGGCTAGTAATATTATTATCGTTTTTAGCAAAACGATAATATTACTAGCCCATTTGTATGCAAAAAGAAAACTAATTAAATCTTTATAAAAGAGTATACCATTAATTAAATATAACACCATTATTTCCGCACATATACTAATTAATTACATACTTAATTGTGTTCGTTAATAAATTATTCTAAATAAATGTGGATTTGAGTCAGAAATCGATATAATAATAAGTTATCACAATTAAAGTCTCTGTTGTTATAAATAAGCATTTATTAAAAAATGAAATATCATTTTTAAGGTGTTACTTTTTATCACACTTTCTAATACCCATACAAAATTCAGTTTTTTAGTATTTGGAGCAATTATTATTAATCAACGCAAACAGTAAGTTCATGTAGTTTGAATACTGGAATCATATTAATTGGTCCTCTTTAACAAATATTTAAACAGTTTTTTTTATTTTTTTAATGAAATAAACGAATTATATCGACAATATTAGTATCTGTACTCTTTAAAAAGTTGGTACATCTTTAAAAACAATCTCAAATGTCAATATTCCGTGGGTATATTGATAAATGAGGTCTAAATTATAAGAAAATGCATTTTCTACGAAAACTTGAAGGGATAGGTAAAAAATGATATAACACAATTTGATAGACAATTAAATTGTGCATCTGATTCTCCTAAAATATACAGGGCGTTCCATTTAAATTAAACAAGTTATTGCCGTTTGAAGCTAATAATTATTTAAAATAAATTTTTAGACACTCTGTATAAGGTAGTATTATTTTTATTGTTGCAACACAATAACTGATCAATAAATAAACTTCAGTAAATATTTAGTATTAAAAACTTTGATACCCTTGGAGAAATGAAGCCTTAAAATTTTTACTGCAATTTCACAAAATTGAAAATATTTCAAAAACGGTAAGGTTTAAGTATCATAAACCTTAATCAAATTTACCTTTATTTTAATCGTAGAAACTAAAAATGTAATAATATACAGGGTGTTTCGTTTAAAAAAATACAACTTAGATATTTTTTACTTATTTGGGACACTCTGTATCATGTAAAATTATTTTTAAATTGTACTTCTAATATTCCTTCATCGAACCCAAAACTTACAATTTGTAAAGATCTCATCGTTTAGCTACAATACTCCGTGTCGTATGTGGTGAACAACCCTGTATATGTGCCTCTAGTAAAAATCTTTAAAGAAATGACCAAGACTACTGATTAACTGCAAGGGCAAGAGCAAGCTCCATTATTGTCCACCCTCCATTATTGTCCATCATCATTTAACATTTTTTCCGAATATTTTTATTCAAGAAGTCCAGAAAACAAATTGGGCAAACGCACACAAAGAGCGACGCAAATTTTCGATGGTCGAGCAATTACAAATTTACGAGAAAAGATTAAATCAACACGCACGCAAAGTTTTACCGTGTAGACGCGGCCTAAGAATAGTATTACCTATTTTAAAAGTTTAAGAGTTATTTTAAAAGCTACTTACGCTAATACTTCTTTTGTTAAAAATTGCAGTCTGGTAAGGATGAGCTTGAATAAGGCACTTCTAGAAGCAACAGAGATCTCATAACAAAACAGAGACTTTTTAATATCTAAAATAAAACAAATCAATTTTTTAACACTAATTTTTTATAAGTGTGTGAAAAATTTAAATAGCAATTTTGTATAATTTGATACTTTTTTTTACTTTTAAAAGTTAGAAAGCTCTTTGTTATCTTATTCAAATATATTATTGTTTAAAAATACATCACATATACGGTGTACAGATTTTCATGTAAAAACAAAAAAAATAATTATTTTGAAAAGTTTTTAAGTTACTTTTTTAAGAGTGTGAAGTTTTGACTCTTAGTATTGGCGATGAAAGTCTGCGAAGATCTGCAGGAAAATGACATTTTTAATAAATTATATACAGGGTGAGTTTCCTACGATGTTCTCTATGGGTATCTCGGAAACTACTGGAGATAGAGAGTCGGTTAAATGGGGAAAGAATTGCAGTTTTGTGAGGTCATAAATATGCGCCATTCAGATTTTTGAAAAAGTTCATGGCTTACTAGATATTTCGAAAAAAAACAAATTTTGGCTAATTTAAAATTTGTCCCTAACTCCATTATAAGCTATTTTAGACAAACAGTTTTCAGATAAAAGTTGTAGATAATCACATCCTTTATGAGACTGTGCCCTCCGTTTTCTTCTAAAGCCTGTCATTTTTGACATATGACACAAACATATGTTTTTTTAAATGGAAAGCATAGTTGGCCATGACTTCATAAAAAGCGCCATTTTTTAAGCTTTTCAGCGATATAAGCTATAATATGCTTTCTTCGAAAAATTACAGAGTTATAGCCAATTCTTATAATTTTTAAACAATTTCACTTAGTTAGCCATGGAAACAAGTTTAATCGTCTTTGTTCTCAGAAATGTGAAGCTGTCACATCCGAATTTTGTAAATTAAAATAAACAAAAATTGTAAATGTGAATGTTTCAAATGAAGAAAAGCGTGTAGATACTCCCGCATCAATAGAGTGGTTCCAACATGACTTTTATTACGACCCCCCCACCTCATAATGAAAGAAATGTTAAAAATTATTTACATTAAAATTATGCAAGCTCAGGAATAGAAAGAGATGGACCAATTGCATGGGCCTCCTCGATTACCTGACCTATCCATTTTAGATTTTTTTTATGCGGTATGGTTAACAATAAGGTTTACAAAAGAATTTGTGAATTAAGAGAGGCACTGGAAGTGGCGGTACGAGACAACTTTAATTAAGTCCACCGGTCCTTCTATGAGAATAGGTAGTAATTCAGTTTTAAAAAGATGCAACTCTCAAAACAATGGCGGATTTTCTAAAATAACTTAAAGTGTATGCAGTGATATTATTTTTTAAGTTTTAGTTTGTGTAGTGTAAATTGTAAAGAACCGTTTAGTAATATATTCTAACTTCTTATAAGTTTTATAAATCATAATAAAATAAGAATACCATGCAATCCAATTGAAATTAATCAAGAAAGATCTGAATTGGCTATAACTAAATGTAACTTTTCTAACATGTCTTGAAACACGTTCTCTAAAAAATGTAACATTCACCGGTTAACGTATCCTCGAAAATATATGGTCAAGAAAAGTTGAACCAATAATCCTACACGCTTTTTTGCATTTGAAAAATTAATTTTTACAATTTTTACTTATTTTAATTTACAAAGTTTGGATGTGACAGCTTCACATTTCCGAGAGCAAAAACTCTTGTTGTTGAGAACTTGTTTCCATGGCTAACTAAGTGAAATTGTTTAAAATTATAAGAATTGGCTATAACTCAGTAATTTCTCGAAGAATACATATTTTAGCTTATATCGCTGAAAAGCTTAAAAAATGGCGCTTTTTATGAAGTCATGGCCAACTATGGTTTCCATTTAAAAAAACATATGTTTGTGTCATATGTCAAAAATGACAGGCTTTAGAAGAAAACGGAGGGCGCAGTCTCATTAAGGATGTGATTATCTACAACTTTTATCTGAAAACTTTTTGTCTAAAACATCTTATAATGGAGTTAGGGACAATTTCTAAAATAGCCGAAATTTGTTTTTTTCGAAATATCTAGTAAGCCATGAACTTTTTCAAAAATCTGAAAGGCGCATATTTATGACCCCACAAAACTGCAATTCTTTCCCCATTTAACCGACTCTCTATCTCCAGTAGTTTCCGAGATACCCATAGAGAACATCGTAGGAAACTCACCCTGTATAAGAGGATCGATAGAATTATCGATTGTTATTTCACAGGCCTCTGTATCACTTATACTTTTTCTGGGTAATACCGTTTAAAATCTAATGCCGTACTGTTTTTAATAAAACAAATGAGAGGTATAGAAGCATAAACAGGCTCTATTTTTTCAGGAGAGATACATTTCTAATAATGAATCGCAAATAACTGATGATAACTTTTGGTGATTCTTATTTATTCTGATGTTTATACTAATTGTTGAAATTTAATTGATGAAAAAAACTAATCTTTTGGATATTTTAAGGTAATTAGGAATTAAAAATTGGAGGTTGTCAGTTTTAACAAAAAGTGGAGAGTGCCAGGTTTGCTCCTACACCCCTCAAAATAATCCAGGACCAGAGCTGCAAGCTCACAGAAAACGTAAATCTTTTTTTGATTTAAACCATTTTAATGTCATTTGACTTTAAGCGAATTTAAGTCCTTTTTCGAAAGCGGACTTCAGACAAATCGTTTTCTAAAAAAAATAGTTATAAACGAGTTTTATGATAAATTTTTAACAGAAGCATTTACTTTTAAATTGTTAGATGGCAGCCAGGCAGCAGCTAAAAAAAAGACTCAATACAATTTTAAGTGAACACGTTAACGTCCTCCGGCCCTTATTAGCTTATTCAATCGACTTATTACATAGTAATCAAAACATATCACCACTTTTTAATGGACATGTATTCGATGACATCTACTCTGTAATGGATTCATAATAAAGTACTACAAAATCGGTTAAATTTTATAAAAAAGTAACATATTTTTGTGTTTGTAGTTATTCTGAAAATGAACCGTTTTATTTTATGTGGTATTAATCTCAAGCCGGTCCCAGACACTACGTGCATTTTGCGAATGTGCGAACATTCGAATTATGTACTGCGGCTTCGGCCACCTTACCACACGCTACGTTATTTGTAAAAATGCGTCCACTGACAAATATTTCCCGTAGTAGAGCAACGCCGCCGCGCGATGTCTTAATTTTCAGTGCTGTTGCAGTTCAAAATGGACAGTGAAGAAGAGCAATAGGTATTGTCGCTGCTAGTTGTGTAATTTTTTTTTGTGTAACCTAACCTAACCATACTACCTTTCACTTTATTAAACAACTGGCGAATCATTGCCATCAAAGACTCTTTTTTTTAATTCTTCCACCGACCACTCGACGCTAAACTTTGATTTAATATTATTCCAGGCTTCAGCCACTTTGTTCCTGTTTTTATGATCTGGAATCTGTGGATTCCAAATCACTGGTTCGCTCTCGAATAATTGCAAAAACTCCAAAGTTAACTCATTTGTCCATTCCATTTTGGAGTAATAAAGAAAACGGAAATCAAACCGCCACCAATGCAATACACAAGTGAACTGAGCGGAGCGCGCCGCTAAAACAAAGAAACACGTAAACAAATAGCCGTAGCGTCTGGAAGTAATTCCGATTGACTACGCCGCACTACGAGCTCCTTTGATTGGTGCCAGTTTACCGACAACCGCCGGGAAAATGACGAAGTACGAATCTTCGTCGAAGGTAACCTCCCATACGCTACGCGAACATAAGCTCGAATACCGAATATTCGCCAAATGCACGTAGTGTCTGGGACCGGCTTCACGGTCTCATTGTTTGTACCTACAATAAATTAATAATATAGCTAATATAAGGAAATCAGCCCCCAATCGGTAATATAAGAAAATTTGTATTAACATTAAAAAATAGGTACTTAAATTGAATTTTGGTTTGGTTTGACTTGACGCTAATTATTTTGATATTAAGTCACTTTGGAGACTGAAATCGCAGATCATCATGATTTAAATCAAAAATATACAGGGTGCTACAAATTCGTGGTACGAGCATTGGTATCTCGGAAACCGTAAGAGATACGAAGATGGTTAAATTAGGGCAAAGTTGCGCTTTAGGATGTTCACCAAGACGCCATCAAAAAAGATTTAAATATTTCAAGGATTGCTGAGTTTTTTGGAAAAAACTGATTTTTTTGAAAATCAATTTTATTTTTTCCTGGCGTTACTTTTTAGAAAATCATAAAACTAATTGCACATTCTCATGGCCACTTTATTAGGGCTATCTGATAGTATTTTTAGATTTTCAAATTAGCTGATAATTTGTGAGATACAGAGACCAACTTAATTATTTTAAATACGGACATGCATTTTTTTATTTGAAGTTTTGAAAGAACTTGAGTACAAGGATATCCCACACTTGATACTTTTTTTTATAGATTTAAATTCAGGGTAACGAAAAGGCAGATGAAAGGGCCAAGCAAGGCTCATCAATGCCATTCATCGGCCCAGAACCCTTCTGCGGCGTTGCAAAGGCGGTCACGAGAATGGCCACGGAACGATGGGTGGCCAACAAATCTCTAGAATGGTGGAGAAACTCACCAGGGCAGAGACAGGCGAAAAGGTTCATTGTAGAACATTCGCCAAAATTCACGGTAGACTTGATAAGCAAGGACAGAAATACAGTCAAAGCTGTAGTAGGTCTACTAACAGGGCATTGTAAGCTAAATAGGCATCTAAAGCTGATGGGATTGACAGACGAAGCTATGTGTAGGTTCTGCCAATCTGAAGAAGAAACGTCAGAACACATTTTATGTCGGTGTGACAGCCTGGCAAATGTGCCGTTCCCGGTAATAGGCAATGATAGGCCATTGCCAAGGAGCTACATGGAGGGTTTAGTCTCCAAGTTGCTAAACTTTGTGAAAAGGATAGGACTGGAGAATGTAATCTAAGGATCAGAAGAGGACCACAATAGATCTGAGAAGGTCGCAGTGGATCAGGCCGAAAGCCACCTCTAAGAATCTAGATTTAAATTGCAGTATTTTGATATAAGTCTTTACGAAAATGACTTTACCTGAAAGGAAATGATTTAAGTCAAAGACATAAGTTTTAAATCATTTTAGCTTTTGAAATTGGCTTAACATTTAAATCATTTTGATTTAAGACATGATTTAAGATTTAAGTCTTGAAACTGACTTGTTGCAGCTCTATCTAGGACGTTATACCAACCTTGTACATTGCTACAGGATATTTTCTTTCCATTCATATAAGCACCTCTTCCTTTTATAGCGGTATAAAGGTCATTTAAGTGAGGTATAAAAATAATCCCAATAACTTGAATCTTCTCTATAACCAAACCTACGGAGATTCCAGTAAACGGGATGTCTTTAACAAAATTTGTAGTGCCATCTATCGGATCGATAATCCAAGTAGGATCGTCTGTTAGGGTGGGTGTCCCGTGTTTGGTTCCAGAACTTTCCTCTCCTATAAAACTTAGAAGTTATCTTGAGTAAAAAAAATACCATTTTAGAAAATCTCTTACCGATGGTGAGGAAATTCAGCCTTTATTTTGCTTATGAGGGTGTCTTCGATCTTTTTGTCATAGATGGTTACCAAATCGTGATCTGATTTGTTTTCGACTTCCAGTGTTTCTTTTTTTACTTCCAAAAATAACTAAAAAATTTGTTAAATACAAATAATCTACAATTTTATTGTAGTTTACTTATAAATTATAATACCGAATATTTTTTTATGTAAAAAATGACGGCATTACAAAAATGTTTTCTAACATATCTACAGCTATTCGACCCGGATTATAGTCAATTGCACCCCCATTTTTCTGTAGATAATTGGATTCAGCATAAAATTCTGCACATAGTACACTATTTTTATTTTGGTTAAAAACATTATATCCGACAAAAAACTGGAGTATCTGAAAGAAAAATAATATAGAATATAGAATTTTAAATATTCCGATTTTGGTGAAGCCATAAAAAAATACCCTGCATATGATAATGTAATTTTTTCTCCACGGATTTATTCTGTTGTAATAAAGTTATATTCACTCAAGTTTTTTACCACTTTTCGGATATAATGCTTTTAACCATAGTTTTAGTAAATAAGAAATCGAATTGCAACACCGCAGATTACTTCAAATAAAAATAGTGTACTATATGCACAATTTTAAGCTGAATCCAATTATCTAAAGAAAAATGAAGGTGCAATTTAAAAAAGCTTAAAACTTTATCATAACTTTTTCATGTGACACCCCGTACACAACAAAATATTTTTAGGATATGCCCCTTTATTAATCATGCAACATCTGTATAAAACTTTTTTTCATATCTTCGACAACAACGACGATATTGGACTTCCTCACACTAACGGGCCACCATGTATATCGGATCAAAGAGAAAATTTGAAGAATCGCCCTATACGTTAGGTTTCTATTTTACGAACGGAGATGAGTGCAATCATATTTTTCCGCAAAAAAATTAAATTAAAATATGTATTGTACGCAGTATATTTTAAGCGGTGTTAAACAATGGCAACAGTGTGAATTTGAATTTTGTGATATTATGTCTATATCCACATAAAATTCACTAAATAGATATAAACAAAAAATGCATTCGTTGACTGAAACCATCAAACAGGGTACCTGAATTGATTCAATTAATTACGGCATATTATTGAATTAACTTGTGCTTTCCAGTCAAACGGTGTACCAATTAAAGAGTTATGCTGTTTCTAAAAAAGAAAAATTTACCTTTCCTGATTCTTTAATTAAAGGCAATACGAAGTTATAATATTCCTCTATCCTGGATGTTTCATTTGCAGTCATTTTTATAATTTTGTTTTCTAAAAAGATATTTAATATATAAATAATAAATCATGAATATACCTTACATAAATTGCCAACTATGTATTTGTTTAGTAAAATAATTGGCGTTGTTAGTTAAAAATGAATCTAATTCTTTTTGAATTGTCTCTGTGTATAATCGGTAGTTTTCTAAGTAGTAGCGTTGATTGAATGAATTGGGAAGATACGGAACTTAATGAGCAAATTCGTAACAAAGCTGATTTGATTTCCCCTTACGTCTCAAGTGCTGTACGGTTAGCCGGAGAGCTGGCGACATATTTAGAGAACATATTTTAGGCAAGTTAGAATAACAAAAAAAATAAACTTTAATAACTTGTGAACCCAGAATCCTAAGTCTGGCTGGGGGGTTGGGGGTATTTCGCTACTGCGCAACCCATAACATTTGCAAAAAAATAAATCCAAAAAACATTCTTTAGGCAACTTGAAATGTGTTTATTCTGAAATTTTAGCATCTATTTAACCTTGAAATAAGTATGCCAGATTTTTTTTTCGGGTTTAAAGTGTAACTCGACCATTCCAAATATGTTTAGTTATTATACCTGGAAAACATACTTTAGGCATTCTAAAATTTTTACTTTTTGTTTATTAGATGATATTAAAAAATATGTGTTAATTGTCAGACGAATTCAATGGGATTTAATACTTGCCAGACGCGAATAAAGATTTTAAATGAGCGCGACAAAAAAAGTCTTATGAGTATCTATAAGCGCGAGAAAGATAGTTTATTGAGACCCGTTGGTTAGCCGATGCGGCTGACGTAACAGTATTTTAGAGTACTTCAAATTTTCATAAAAACAATTTTTTTTTCGGTTTCATTTCAATTATTTGCAGGCTTTTAATTCAGAGATTATTTTGTTGGAATTAAGTTACCTTGTACAAATATGTATTTATAAATTAAATATTGACGTGCATAGTGTAAATAGTTTAGAATAATTACTGCAAATAAATATTTTAGTAACTACTAATTTTGCTACTAACTACTAAATCACAATGGATAAAAAACATTTAAGTTGTGTAGTTTGTAAAAAAATTACTAGTGACAAAGTTATTGTTTTTGAGGAAGGCAGACTACAAAAATGCAAAGAATTTTTAAAAGTGCGCCAACAACATGGTTTAAAATTTAAAGAAGTGGTTTTACCAGAAAACGTACTCCCGACAAAAGAGTACCATGTACAGTGCTAACAAAATAAGTATTCTGGAATTTTAATAAAGTACCATTGTTAATCTTCCTAAATAGATTCAAAAGTAAGTAAAAGTGCTTTACTTTTATGCTGAGGCGTTAAAATGACTTTTTTATATTGTCAATCAGGTCGCAAAAATTAATAATGACATAATATGTCACAAAAGTATAATAATAATTATACTTTTGTGACGTTTGAAAAAAAATATATTTTATATTATGCTAATTTTTAAATAATTATTCGTCTTTTTATTCTTTCAGATACAAAATACTTAAATTAAAAAGTCTTCTTATTGAAATGATTTCAATCATACATTTTTATTAGAAAATGTTTCTTTTTATTTATTCAATATTAGTTAGTTTTTTTTTCTAATTTTTACGACTCCAAAATGCTGTTACGTCAGCCGCATCGGCTGCCGACTGGTCTCAATAAACTATCTTTTTCGCGCTTATAGATACGCATAAGACTTTCTTATCGCGCTCATTTAAAATCTTTATTCGCGTCTGGCAAGCATTAAATCCCATTGAATTCGTCTGGCAATTAACACATATTTTTTAATATCATCTAATAAACACGCTGTAAAAATTTTAGAATGCCTAAAGTATGTTTTTTCCAGGTATAATAATTAAACATATTTGGAACGGTCGGGTTACACTTTAAACCCGAAAAAAAAGTCTGGCATACTTATTTCTAGGTTAAATAGATGCTAAAATTTAAGAATAAACAAATTTCAAGTTGCCTAAAGAATGTTTTTTAGATTTATTTTTTTGCAAATGTTATGGGTTGCGCAGTGGCGAAATACCCTCAACCCTCCAGCCAGACTTAGGATTCTGGGTTCACCAGTTAATAAACTATACATTTTTAGTTATTCTAGCTTGCCTAAAATATGTTCTCTAAATATATCGTTAGCTCTTAGGCTATAAATTAAATCTCAACCGAATTCTCGTGCAGGCTGACGGTAACGCCTGTTACATCTCGGACAAGTTTTGTGCCAAGAAATCGCTCATAAGGTTGCACATCTTCAATCATTCAACGCTACTACCGTTGATTGAAAAAATAATAAGATGTGCAACAGTTCATATTTTCAAAAATATTTTTTTCTAGAAAAACAGACTATGCCACTGTATTTTACATAAAAAGTTCTACAATAAACAGTTTTTGCCTTCTCGATACCTTTAACAATAACAGAGATACAGAAGGTGCCCCAAACTGCAAAATTTTTGAAAAGACCTTGTAGCTCAGAAACGAAGAGGGCTATGAAAATTTTGTTTGCAGCATCTTCCGTTTGACAAAAAAATGGGACAGGTCTGTGCAAACCGTATTCTCATATCTTTACTAATAACGGAGATTATGATTTCAACTAAAATGGGACGCCATATACATATAATAAATATTCATTTTTTACTTGTCATATAATCCACTTAATAATAAACTTTAAATTCCTATAATACCCCTCTAAATCATCTTGTCAGGAAAACTATCAATCAATTAAGTACCGAACTTTTCGAGAAAACGACACTTTTTTAAAATAAATTTATTAAATATTTTATGCAACGTTATATAAAACTTTTTGAATAAAATAGCTCCTACTGGAGAGATACGGACAAATAAATTGTCTTTAAGAAAAATTAGAAATTCAAATAGACGTTGGTAATTTATTTATAAATGCCAATCCTAAATAAAAAGGTACTTACGTTTCAGTCTAACCGTTTAAAATTAAGCGAGTTCTCCTTTCGACTTATCAGCGCGAAATGTTTACTAAATAATGTTACGTTTTTCGTCGGTTCCGTGTGGATAGAAAGTCACAATTTATTTAAACACTATTTATTTAACACTAATTAACAAAAACAATAACGATAAAAGACTTATAGAACTATTTACAAACGATTTATAACTAAGAATTTATTTTGAATTTTAGCGCGTCAACTGCACTGGTATATTTATAACTGCCCCTGGCCACGGCCGCCGGCTTTATACCGGCAGGTAAAGAACTCTAGAATTGTCCATAGATCGTTAGGTGCGTAGAGAAGGTTTTCGAATGTTCTCGTATGTACTCGTCCATTCCAGTGGGACTCGATTCTTCTCGAACGAATGAATCATTGCGGTGTCTATGCGATGTTAAGGTCATCCGAGGGCGGGCCATATTGTGAGGTTAGGTCGAGTCCACACCGGCCCGCAACACTGCCCCCTTCTTAGGTACATGCTCGTCCCGAGATTATACGGTGAATGAAGGTATTTGCAAAGCTGGCCCCTGGTACATTGCGAAGTCTGGTAGAAATAGCAGTCTACAGTTTTCTCTCCCGATCTCAGCTTTGGGTTGTAGCAGCAAACGAGGATCTCGATTCCCGTAAATCTGAACAAGACTTCAATCATGTTCCGGATTGTACGCCAACTCAAACCATCGAGTCCACACGCCAGCTTCGGAATGGCTAATCGTGCAATGTTGTTGTTTAGCAGGGCTTCTCTCAGTTCAATCAGGGTCTTCCATAGATTGAGATAAGTCGGCTTACTCGGGGACCATTCCTTGGTGACCAGGTAGAAGATGTGCCTTGCTTGACCATGTGCATTGTCGGTTAGCCTCAAGACGCTTCCAACCTCTGGATCCTGTCGGCGTAGTTCTCCGACACGCCCAAACTTCTCATTGAACGTCGCAGCGATTCCTCTGGACATCCGCAAATCTCGAGCCACACAATGAGCGAGCGAATAATCAGGAGGCACGGAAAAGAGGTCTCGTTGATCTTCTTTGGTTACACCATAGCGAGCCTTCTCACTGCTGTTGTATCGGGCCATGAAATCGTCAAAGGACATCTCCGAATCAGGGGGATCAAAGCTGCAGGTTCTCACGGTCCCAGCACGATCTTCTATTTCGCCTTGGTAGGGGCTCAAACGGTTGAAATGGACTACCCTCGGTTTTCCTTTTGGCAATTTTCTGATACGGTATACGACGTCATTAATTCTATCCATGACTTCGTATGGCCCTTCCCACGAGGATTGTAGCTTCGGAGATAACCCACGACGTCTCTGCGGGTTATATAGCCACACCAACTTCCCTGGTTGGTATCCTCCATGCTCAGCTTGAATGTCGTAGTGTTCCTTCATTCGGTCACTAGCACTTTGAATATTTAGGCGGACTCTCTGATGAATGTCGTCCATCCTTTGACGTAGTGTGTGGACATAATCTTCTCCGGCGACTTCTTCTCCCGGTCGGCAACCAAATTTCAGATCACAGGGTAGGCGCACTTCCCGTCCCATAACGATGCTGGCTGGAGTTTGCCCTGTAGATTCTTGGACGGATGAACGGTAGGCCAACAGGAACAGGTGAAGAAATTTGTCCCAGTCTCTTTGGTGGTCAGAGACTACTTTGGCCAGATAACGGTTGATAGTTCTGTTCATGCGTTCAACCATCCCATCGGATTGTGGATGTAGAGCAGTCGTCCTGGTCTTGCGGATGTTCAGGACTTCACAGACGCCTTGGAACAGATTGGACTCAAAGTTTCTTCCCTGATCTGAATGAAGCTCCATGGGAACACCAAACCTGCAGATCCATTCTTTAACAAGGGCATCAGCAATCGTGGACGCTTCTTGATTTGGCAACGCGTAGGCCTCGACCCATTTGCTGAAGTAATCCATTACTACCACAATGTATTTGTTGCCATCGTTCGTCTCCGGGAAAGGACCAGCCACGTCGATCGCTATTCGTTCGAAGGGACTACCAACATTGTACTGGCGCATAGGGGCTTTACCACGCTTTTGTGGCCCATTAATGGCTGCGCAAATGTCACATTTCTTACACCAGGCCCTCACATCTTCTTTGCAGTTCACCCAGTAGAACCGTTCACGCAGCTTGCCAAGTGTCTTGGTAACACCAAGATGTCCTCCGCTGGTTCCATTGTGAACTTCCTCCAAGACTTCTGGGACCCTCTTCTTTGGAATGACGATCTGCCTTCTCTCTTCTTGTCCCTCCGGTCTCTCGATCACACGGCGAAGTAGTCCGTTATCTATTACCAAGGAATTCCACTGGGCCCAGTACGACTTTACGTTCGGCGAATATCTGCAAACTTCTTCCCACGTTGGTCTTTGGCCTGTGTTTTTCCAGTTAATTACTAAACCTAATTCTGGGTCACTGGTTTGGTCATTTGCAAGATCTTCGGGTTGCCAACTATCATTAACCACAGTTGTTCTTAGGAGTTTCACTTCTTTCTCTTCAGCTCAGGAACAATGCTTACAGTCCTTAGCGCAAGGTCTTCTGGAAAGTGCGTCGGCATTCCGATGGATTGCCCCAGCTCGATGTTCTGTGTCGAAGTCAAATTCTTGTAATCGTTCAATCCATCTAGCTACCTGCCCTTCAGGATTCTTAAATTACAACAGCCATTTCAAAGCAGCATGGTCTGTTCTTAACAAGAACTTTCTTCCATAGAGATACTTGTAGAAGTGTTCCACTGCTTTAACTACTGCTAGTAATTCTCGTCTGGTTACACAGTAGTTCCTTTCCGGTTTTGACAAGGTCTTACTAAAATAACCAATGACTTTTCTTGACCATCCTGGATCTGAGACAGAACAGCGCCTAACGCAACATTGCTAGCGTCGGTATCCAATATAAAGTTTCCGTTGCCAAGAGGGTAGCTAAGTATGGGCGCACTAGTCAGGGCCTTCTTCAATTTTCGGAATGCCTCGTCAGAATCTGAGTCCCAAGAGAAACGCCTCTCGCCTTCGGTAAGTCTGGTCAATGGTTTTGCGATGGTGGCAAAACCCTGTACATAGCGGCGATAGTATGTGCATAGTCCCAAAAAGCTTCGTAGTTCATGTTTATCTTTAGGTATCGGCCACTCTTCCACTGTCTTGGTCTTCTGTGGATCTACCGCAACTCCTTGGGAGGAGACTACATGGCCCAAGTAGTGTACCTTTCTTGACACAGATGACATTTCTTGGGGCTAAGTTTCAAACCAGAGCTCCCTAGTCGCTTGAAAACTTCTTCCAAATTCTTCAGATGATCGTCAAAGGATTTCCCAACCACTATGATGTCATCCAGGTACACTAAACAGGTAGTCCAGGATAGTCCCTTTAACACAGACTCCATTAGTCTCTCAAAGGTAGCTGGCGCGTTGCACAATCCAAAGGCATGACGGTAAATTGCCACAGTCCGGAGCCCACCGAGAACGCTGTCTTCTCTCTGTCTTTCGGCGCCATGTCGACTTGCCAATATCCACTCTTCAGATCTAACGTAGAGAATATCGTTGACCCCGCCAATGTGTCTAGAGTATCGTCTTCCTCGGCAGGGGATAGCTATCCTTCTTGGTAACATTATTGAGCTGCCGATAATCAACACAGAACCTGGTGGTACCGTCTTTCTTCTTTACTAGTACTACCGGCGATGTCCACGGGCTGTTAGATGGTTCGATGACACCCTCTTCTTTCATTTCTCGAAGGATTTTGTCAGCTTCTTCACGTTTGGCGAGCGGAAGTCTTCTCGGATTTTGTTTGATTGGTCGTGCATCTCCGGTGTCAATTTTATGTTGTACTAAATTGGTACGACCTCTATCTCCTGCTTCTCCTTTATCAAACACGTCTTGATACTTGATTATTAGGTTTCTCAATTTTCTACTATTTTCGGGAGATAATCCTTTAACGTTTACTAACTCCTTCACCATTTTGTCCGGAATTTTTGAAGTCGAAACTTGGAGGCTTCCACGCTTCGAATGACTGAGGAGCCGAACAACAGTACCCTAAAAGGGTTCCCTTCTTCAAGGATACAGAATAATAATTTGTGTTCATTACTCTCGCCGGTACAGTTTTCTTCGCTCGTAGCAGGGCTTTTCCAACAGCGATCCCCCGTCCTATTTCGCTGTCATGGTTCCTTGGCTCCAACAGAATAATACTCCCATTATTCATTTTATCTTCCAGGCAACCATCCAAAAATATCTCACAGCGCTCAGGGATCGAAACATCTTCTGCTACCACCACGCGAAGCGTCTCCTCACATTTTCGATGTAGAACCACTTCTTCTTCATTTATTTTCAAAATTCCCTGTTTGAAGTTTAGTTCAAAACCTCTAGTGGCCATGATGTCCATTCCGAGAATAAGTTCATCTTCGATATCTGCTACTACCACTGGATGTTCAAAACTGGTGCTCCCAATAACAAAATTAAGGTTTACTTCTCCATGGACAGCAGCAGAGCCCCCCGTAGCAGTACGTAGTCGCCATTGTGTTGTTTTAACCTTCTTCGATGTTTTAAGAATGTCCGGTCTGATAATAGTTTTCGTCGCTCCTGTATCCAACAGCATAGTCCGGAACTCTCCATCAACAAAACCATCCACAAACATGCTGTTGAATTTGTGTTGTAGCGAGGCGACTCGAGCAGTTTTCGTTGGGGCATGTTGGGTACAGGTCGACGTGTGCCCCTTCATTTCGACCCTTAGTAGTTTTCCGACCTCGACGAAGCCGGTTCTTCGTTCTTCTCCTTACAACGGCTTCGCACGTGTCCTACCTGTCCGCAGTTCCAGCAATGAATCAGTCCCTTCTTGCCCATGTACTGGTCCATTACTTTCCGAACAATCCCTTCCACGGATTCGTCGGAACATTCGTCGATGGCCCGTACTCTTCCTAAAGACCGAGAACTTTGTTTCGCGGCCTCAAATTCTAGGGCACGTGCTAAAGCATCCACCAAGTGCGTTGGGTGGGCTAGGAGAAGTGCTTGTCTTGTCTCGTTGTCACGTAAGTCGTCGGAGAATGCCTGTACTGCCAACCGCTCCATAACATTCTCTGGCGTAGCAGGGTACGCAAGGCGAACGAGGCGGGCTACGTCGGCTTCAAACTCCTGCAGAGACTCATTTGACTTTTGAATGCGATTTTTTAGCTGGGAATGACATGTTCCAAATGAGCTTGGCCGTACCTCATTTCTAAATGTCGTACCAATTGCTGATAATCTCCCTGTTCCGATGGTGACAATGTCTGCAGAATATCAGTCGCATCTCCTCGCAGTGCGACAGTCAAAGCGGTAGCCTTTTCAGCGATTGTCCATCCGTTCGCTCTCGCAACGGCCTCAAACTGGCAAAAATAATTGGCCCAAGCGGTCTTTCCGTCAAACTGTGGAGGCTTAATAACTGACTTTGAGATATACTTATTTTCGACTAGTTTCGGCCCCTCCGATGTTTCTTGACATTTTGGTGAATTTGATTTCGCTATTTCTTCTCTTAAAATTTCGATTTTTCTATTTACATCTTCCTCAATCTCTGTTATTTTGTCTTGTGTATCTGTTATCTTCTCTTCTAATTCCCTGGAATTTTCTGTTATCTTTTCTTCTAAATTAAGTATTTTATTATTAAAGCTGGCCTGTATGTCTTTAGAATTTTCTGCGATCTTATCTTCTAAAATATTAATTAAATCCTGGGAATTTTTCATCATTTTATCTTCTAAATTATTCAAATTGCCGTTTAAATTGTCTTGCAATTCCCGGGAATTTTCTGTAATTTTGTCATTCAAATTGTCTTCTAATTTTTGTAGGCACGAGTCAAGGTCACCTTCCAACTCAAAGCAAAATGTGTCAGGATCCTCACCTTCCTCAATCAAAACGTCTCTCAGTCTGGCTTGCAAAATGCTTTTCTTTCCATCTGTCTCGCATTCCCTCTCTTCCAGTATGCTTTTTAATTCCGACACTTTCAGGTCTTTCAATTTTTTTGGAGCCATCGTTAGTCTTTTTATTTTTCTAGTCTATCACACACGCCACACTTGACACCAATTGTTACGTTTTTCGTCGGTCCGTGTGGATAGAAAGTCACAATTTATTTAAACACTATTTATTTAACACTAATTAACAAAAACAATAACGATAAAAGACTTATAGAACTATTTACAAACGATTTATAACTAAGAAGTTATTTTGAATTTTAGCGCGTCAACTGTATATTTATAACTGCCCCCTGTAGGCCACCGCCGCCGGCTTTTATACCGACAGGTAAAGAACTCTAGAATTGTCCATAGATCGTTAGGTGCGTAGACAAGGTTTTCGAATGTTCTCGTATGTACTCGTCCATTCCAGTGGGACTCGATTCTTCTCGAACGAATGAATCATTGCGGTGTCTATGCGATGTTAAGGTCATCCGAGGGCGGGCCATATTGTGAGGTTAGGTCGAGTCCACACCGGCCCGCAACAATAATAAGTAATTCAGATAATTCCTCTCTCCTCCTACTTACGTACACGATTGTTCAGTTTCCTATACCGGTAGAAACTAATCTAAAAATTAAATAACTAATCAGATCGAAAATAGTAACTAAATATGGGATTACTGTGTGACAATGTCTCGCAAGTTTTGTTCCTAAACAAACTATAACAATGGACCAGCTAGACGTTTCTGTAAGTGCAATTTCAAATATTATTTATAATAAAAAAAATGTTTTTTATCGCTGTATGTTTAGTATTAATTGGTATTAGCTACTTTATTAAATTTTAAAATAATCTAATCTAAAAATATCATTACAACAAGCGCAGTTCAAATATTATAAACTTATTATAAATAAAAAGTATTACATTAGTTTTAATTATTGTTTCGAGGTCGTTAGTTCTATGTTAATTTTTGCTAGTCCAGTTCGCTGTACTATACCGGGTGCGTCTCAAAACTGGCTCACCCCCTATAACTTTTTTATTTTTTCACATAAAACGAGATTCGGTATGTTAGTTTATGACATAAATTAGAATTGATTGACATATTTAATTGTTTTCGGTCACTTCCGGTCTCACCGGAAATGACTGCAACTTTTGATTTTTAAATGGCAACCTCGGTAATTTTTTACTTTATTCAATAGAAAATCACACTCTGAATAGAATGACATATCATATGTCAACTTTTGACATTTTCGCATATGGTTTATTTGAAATTATAACATGCGGTTCATAACGATAATTTGACTCGAAATACCAAGTGTGTGGTATCAAATTATCCGTAAAAAAATGCCTTTTCCAAAAAATATGCTAATGAGCCACCCTCGTTCCATTTAAAAAAATTGAGATATGATTAAAAATACGATTTGGACATCTTTTAACCGGCCAGGACAAGACACTAAAAACATTAAACGATCAAATCTATTTTTCCAAGAGTCCTTCATTAAAAATTAGTGTTTTAACATAGTCATGGCACTCTAGATTGAAATTTAAAGTACAATTTGTTTTTAAGCGAATATGTCAAAAGTTTACATATGATTTGTCATTCGATTCAGAGTGAAGTACCAAATCTCATTTTTTTATCTGAAAAAATAAAAAAGTTATAGGGGGTGAACCACTTTTGAGACGCACCCGGTATAATATAAATACTATATTGCTAATAACGCAGTTAACAGTAAAACATATTAACAGTACATATTTTTTAATTATTTGATGTTTATCGTATCTACATTGTCATGTTTCATATTTGTACTAGCGTTATGTGGTATAGGCGTTTATATTTAACTTATTTAAAAGTTACATTTTTTATTTAATTAATTCTTTTTTAGCCGACCATACCAATAGTACTACTAATTTTAATTTCACTCAAAATGAGTTATTTGGGTCATAAATGACCTAAATACAAAATATTTTCATGGTGTCTGTCTGTCTGTCTGTCTGTCTGTCTGTCTGTCTGTCTGTCTGTCTGTCTGTCTGTCTGTCTGTCTGTCTGTCTGTCTGTCTGTCTGTCTGTCTGTCTGTCTGTCTGTCTGTCTGTCTGTCTGTCTGTCTGTCTGTCTGTCTGTCTGTCTGTCTGTCTGTCTGTCTGTCTGTCTGTCTGTCTGTCTGTCTGTCTGTCTGTCTGTCTGTCTGTCTGTCTGTCTGTCTGTCTGTCTGTCTGTCTGTCTGTCTGTCTGTCTGTCTGTCTGTCGGTCCGTCCGTCCGTCCGTCCGTCTGAAACACGATAACTCAAAAATCGCTGAACCGAAATTTGGCACAAAAATACTGTGGCACCCGAGAATCTGGCCATTAGTTTTTGGTGGGGGTGGGGGGTTGGTAAGGAGGTATGGGAGGGGGTTAAAAATTTTAAAAAATTGTAACTCCAAAATTACAGTAGCTAGCGAAACGCGGTTTTCAAATTAAGATTAGTAATAATATTTGCAACAATATTTGTAATAACATCAAAATCAGTCAAAGTCGCGGTTTTCGAGATATTAACATATTTTAGTATGGGCGGCTATACGTGCCTCCCGGCGCCAATTTTTGAACATCTTTTATATTTAAGGTATTTCAAAATTTGTATCTTATGTCAATATCGGTCTGGTATTTATCGTTGAAACAGCCATATGTAATAAAAATCCGAATATTTACGAAAACGTTAAAAATTTTCGAATACTTTAAATATTAAAAATGTTTTTTTTTAATTTTCCATCTAACAAAGAAATAATACACAGGGTGTTCCGTTTAAAAAAAAATGATTTCGATCCACTCATACTTTTTTGAGCCACCCTATAGAAGTTAAAATATTTTCCTAAAATACATCCTAACCTAACCTAACCAACACATACTTTAAGTTGGCACTTATACAAAATGCCTAAGTTTTTTTTACAAGGGCTCTATTGTTCACATATTAAACGCACTGTTGCCGGGCTCGTATGAAAACTTGAAGTGTATTCTCCTATTCATAAATATGCGTAAAAATTAGGTTTTGTTTAAAAATACGATGAGCGTAATAATCATGCAGCTGGGTATCTTGCAGTGTAATTGACCTCAAATCCAAGGAGGTAATAGAGAAAGAGGGATATATCCTTTATTATAGATTCGCGACAACTGGGTATCAGGTTTAAGGAGAGACCATGTTAAAGAGGTGGAGAAAAAGGAGATAGATCCTCCAGCCTCCATCTCCGGGTACCGCCGGAGACAAACTCCTCAACTGGGAAGGGCACGGAGGGCTAAACCACCACCGTGGAAGGGTGTATACTAGGGTGCACAAACATTTTTTTTTATTTACTGTAAAACTATCGTTCAGGATGATGAAAAAAATTTCTTGTAAATTTCAGCTTTTAATATTAATCTAAAGAGGTGCCTCATCGTGATTTTCTATTTACCATTTAAATAACATGGGGTAACAGTTTTTTTTTTAATTTTATTGCGTTCTAACAAATCAGCGTTTTGTAAAAATCGATGCACATCCCTGTAAGAAATTGAACGGTCTTCAAAAAAGCTGTGATATGAATTTTCATTTAATCGACTCGTTTGAAAATTATTGAAGGTTAAAGTTTAACTTCAAATCATATATGCATGATAACTTCCACAATTTTTTATATTTTATCACGAAATATCGGCTCATAAACATAAACTATCATATTATATCACGAAATAATGGCTCAAAAACATAAAATATCAGATTTTATGTTTTTCAGCTATTATTTCGGGATAAAATATAAAAAATTATGGAAGTTATCATATACGATTTGAAGTTGAACTTTAACCTTCAATAACTCTCAAACGAGTCGATTAAATGAAAATTCATATCAGAGCTTTTTTGAAGAACATTCGATTTTATACAGCGATATGCATCGATTTTTACAAAACGCTGATTTGTTAGAATGCAATAAAATTCTAAAAAAAAATTGTTTTCAATTTTTGTTGTTACAAGGATCCATTCATTTTAAGAATGGATTGTTAGACCGACTAATTCATAAAGTGCGCGTAATCACAAATAAATAAAGACAAAAAAATCACATTTTACATCTAAGAGTGCACCTAAAATTAAAAAATTGACCCGATAAATATGGGTACATTCGAACTATGTCGGTTTAGTAGCATCGGTAGTAGCAGGTTTAGTAACATCGTAACGATTACAATATTCAAGAAAGTTAAGTTGATTTTACACCATATGATCGAAAAAAAATCTGCGTCAGCGATGGCCATGAAATGAAGATCGCTGTCGAAGGCAAGGTTGATTCTCACTATACCTTCCGTTTCCATTCCATATCCGTTCCGTATTTTTTATTGTATATTGACGCTATACATAGGCTTCCGTTCCGTATCAGTTCCATACTTTTTATTGTACAATTTATATCATTACGAAAGTTTTATTTTAAAAATTTGTATCTTTTGAAAAAGGTAATAGATTTAATTAAGAGGTGAAAGAATAAATAAGTATCAAGAATATCTTAACAGAACTGGTACAAATGTAAGAACTCGACAACGCTGTTTCCGATACGCTTCAGTCCGTCCGCCAAAAAAATGTATGGAAAGGAAGGATATGGAACGGAAGGGAAACGAAATGGATAGTGTGCATTGTCCTATCCATTGACATGATATAATATTTTATGTAAACGGAAGGGAAAACGGAAGGTAGCTGATAAGGAAGGTATAGTGAGAATCAACCTTCAACTGGACTCCGTTTTTTTCGATCATACGGTATTTCCCGGACATTATTTCAAATTCTGGCCGGACCAGCTCGAATACTTTAAAAACCCAGACATGTCAGGGCAAATCCGGACGTATGGAAACCCTAAATATAACCTAGACATTAAAATAGTGTGTTGCGTATTCGTGTAATCTTTAAAAATTTCTACTAAACACACAAAATTGTTCCAGACTGCGTCTCCATCACCAGGACCACCTCAGCATATGCCACAAGGTCATACTGGTCCTGTACATCCGCCTCAGACTCATCCGCCAATACCGATGCATTCGGGTCCTGGACATCCACCACCTCAAACGCACCCCAGCCAAGGACATTTGCCCCAGCAACAGCAACATCCGCCTCAGGGTCATCAACCTCAGGGCCATCCCCCTCAAGGTCATCCACCTCAGGGTCATCCACCTCAGAGTCATCCACCTCTAGGCCATCCGTCTCAGAATCATCCACCTCCTCATTTATCACCGCAAGGGCATTCACAACAAGGTACCTATTAACGGACGTTAAAATTTATATTAAAGATTTGTAATGTAAAAGATGCTGATGATAAATAATTTATACTCTATTCACATAGTATAAGTCTGTTTTGAAATTAGTTATTGAATTTTTACTGACGTAGTGTTAGCAAATCAGCAAATGTGAGCGTTAATAGTAATTGTTAGCATTCCTTAGTTAGCAAATACTGATGATTTCGTCCATTTAGAGGCATCGGTTCGAAACTTCTAGGGCGCCATCCTGTAGTCCGTCCCCAATAGAAATGTTCACAAAAAAATTAAAACGTGCCTACTTCCCATAAAATAATTCATTATGACATTAAAACTTAGTATGCAAAGTTTGTTTGTTTTTTGTTAAATCATTTGAATCCGCTAAACGCTCACCTATTGGCCTGACGTCACTGCTTCGATCGGTATTTCCGCGCGAGTAAACGGGGCTGTCTGCACCCTGTGGAATTTCTAACAGGACAAGCTAGAATACGGCATATCGTGTGTGCTTATGGATGTAGTTTGTATATTAAATTTGGTTTATTGTGATTAATATTTGGAGTTTATTACGAGTTTAAAAACAAAGCTACTTAGTGAGATGGAGGACGGGTTTCAGAAGGCAGATTCTCATAATTTGCCTACAGTAGGTGTTGTTATGGGATCCGATTTTTTAATACAATGCAAAAACTTCAGTCAACTTCAAACCAGTGGCGCGATGGATAGTCACTAAGTTCATATGAATTATAATACATATATTATACTACCTACTTGAAAGCGATAACAAACAACACTTGGTTTTTAACAATACAAAATTATTGAGTTTTTGAGCTGTCAGAGGCCCGTATTTAGGAGGAGGGGGCAGATTTTAAATTTTAATTATCATATTAAACTGAAAATTTGCATGCGTATATAGAAGCTAAGGCAGTGGTCGCGTTCATCAGGACGTAGCGCTACTGCAGCGATCACTAATTTTCTGCTGAACGCGCTGATTAGTTGTGAGCGCTCTGGGATCAGTCGCCATTTTTTCCATCATATTTAAAATACGCTACGCTACCGATGCATGATGGATTAAACGTCACATACGCCAAATGGCCCATAATGTTTTGGAAAACGAAAACAAACCATTTTGTTTATTTTTCTCGGTTGACTAATCCCCTCGATTTCTGCCAAAAATGGGCGTAAACAATTTAATATGCATTACTTATGATTTGTCTATTAGGGATGCTAAAAAGCGCGTTCAGCAGGACAACCATTCGATGGCATATCGCTCACTGATTAACTTGTCCTGATGAACGCGACCAATGTAATATTATCGTATTGTACCTAACCTAACCTAACCTCGCTTTTTTTACGGTATCATTAATTTTTATTCGCTCTTTTTTAGTGCATTTAATAAAAGCTTGTTTTTTAAAAGTTTTTATCATTTTTTTTTAATGTTTGAAATGCTTTGTTATAATATATTTGAATTCTGATATTCATGTTTCTGGGTACTGAGATGAATATTTTAGCATCAGCAATACACCTTCGCGAACGTCTGCAAAAACAATACGGCAAGTGCACGATCGTACGGACGCCATCGATCGATCAAAGCAGTGACGTCAAAAACAGGTAGCCTCGAGCCGGGTACGTTTTCTAACCTTGCTGCATTTCTCAAATTTGTTTTGCGTTTATGTGAGAAAATTATAGTTTTTAAGAAAAATTTTGAGTGCCATGTTTTTTTACTCATATGTAGCTATCGAAATTCATTGAAATTAGAAATTAGAGAACATGTCTATTATACCGAAATCGACCCACATTTTTCTTCAATATCAAATCCTTAGTCCCACCTTGATGAATATGTAAACAAATCGTTGTATCCAACTTTGCACGGTGGGACCGTGTGTACCGTAGCTCACATGCCCGCCCACCAAATTTGGTCGCGATCGGACGACATCAACTTTCTTACGTCAAAACTGTCACAGTGACCCGTATCGTACACGGCCAAGTTGGCCTTAGTTCAATCTATCGACATACCAAATTCAATTTCAATAGGATGATTCAATAGATCTAAACCGTAGGCTGTCCTTGTCACTTCTCCCCTCGCGTGTCATGTCACGGTCTTGAATTTTTAATCCCAGCGCGTAAACAAGTCTCACTTGAAAAATACTTTTTGGTGATATATGTATAGTGATAGTCAGAACGTCAAAAAAGTTAAATGACATGTTTGCGAAAGATATAAACCCTTCTTGTTACAGTTAAATTTAGACATTTTAATTTTTTTGACGATGTTAAGTGCTTTTGTTAGTCAAATTTATTTACAAGTAATAAACCACTAAGCAGTTTGTGTTCTTTGTATTTAAAACACACAAGCATTGTATAGAAAATTGGTAAAATTTAAGATATTTTTTTAAATATTAGTATTTATGTTCTCTATTAGTTATATTATGTTCTCTATTAGTTATATTATAAGCGTGTGTTTTGTTAAAGGCCATCCAAATCAAAGTCACGCCCTGGCTCCCCAAGGTCATTTGTCTCCGCAAGGACATCCTCCGCCTCAAGGACACACGCCTCCGGGACACCCTTCTCCAACTCATCCAAGTCACCAAGGACTACAAGGTATATTAAGTCGTTATTCATCTCTTGATTTTTTTAATAACTTTATAAACAGTTATTACATATTTTTGACATATTTACACAATCTTAACTGTTTTAAAGCTTTATTCAGAACCTCGCAATTAGTGGAATAAATTAGTGGTTTCAGTTAGAGTTTATACTTTTTAGTTTACGATCATTCACAATGTCTAAAACAATTAAAATTAATAGGGTATCCTAGCAACAGCTTGCGGTAGTCAGTTGTATCCATAGAGAATGCCTAATATTTACCTTATAAAACAATAAACTTTTGATTTCTCACCAGAATTTTTCTTGACGGATGATAATCAACGGCCAAAATGACATTCATCGCAAATTTTGAAGTTTAATTAGTGGCAGAGTCAAAGTTTTGTTTACTTTTTGTACTAATTGAAAATTATTACCACTAATTTTGACGTTCTGAATGCTTTCTTAAAAATGTTACCATATTTTCATGATTTTTTGTTATTTTTTTCTAAAACTGTATGGAAATGTGGAAAAATATAAACGGGATTAACGATTTTAGAACAAGCAAATATTTTTATAAAGAATGTATTTTTATCAAAATGTCATGAATAAAAAAGTTTTTTTCTGTTGTAAAGACAATCCGGGGACATACTGTAGAGAGTGGTATAGCGTTTTTTATAAAACATTACCACTGCGAACGGCAGCTTTTCGTTGGTAGAGCAGTCGTGGATAAGGTATTTCACTGGAAAGAAACTAACAATAATAAATCGAAAATACAAATATTGGGCGCCAGGCATGAACAGAGAAAGAAAACACAGTTGTTTATTACTTAAAACTAGTGACTATATTCATTCATGATGTATCCTGATGGTAAATAGCATTGTACAATTTTAATAATTATTATAGTGGTTATATGTCGAGTAAAAGCTATGTATGTAAATAATATTAAATATGTTTTATGAAAAGACTATGGAAAAATACATTGCGTGTAAAGTTATAGAAAATATATGAAAGGTAGCATTACTTTATTTAATTTGTTAAATTTTATGCGGTGTTAAATCTGATATGTTGCAACCCGTAGATTCTAGAATCTATGTCTGGTTATTCATCTGTTAATATAGCGCAATAATAATATCTATAGAAAGTAATACTATTACAAGACGTAATGTAATGAAACCTAAGATCTAAATAATATTGTAACTACTAAATCGACATAAATGTTATTAATAATCTAACCACTAAACATAGTCTGTACGATATTATTTAAAATGTACGTTATTATGTTAAGACTGAAAATCGACTGAAAACCAGAACCTAAATCTACACTTAGCTGTTCTTGAGACAATCCTGTTTCAAAGAGTAGCAGCGTGAGGTGGGCTCATATCTCTATACTGTCTCTCGGCTATCCTATTGGCCAATACAACAAAAGAGGCCAGAATGAGGACACCATGAATCAATACACCCGTAACTACTGACTAGGCTTAGAAATGGGAACGAAGCAGCATGGGGCTTACGCTACATCCATACTGTGGCAATATGGGGACACTATCCGTACCTTGGACAATGTCCGTAACTTGGATCATAACCTTGGACCCTAAAAATACGAAACTCTTGTTTAAAACCAAACAAGATCTAATAAGCAAAATAAACCTACCTCGAATTACTTCCGAGGGCTCAATAATAAACAAAGAAACTGTTCTTTCTTCCATGTAACATTCTGGAGGACAAAAGAGAAGGAACGCCAACGTGCCAGCAAAATACAAATACAAGTTAAGTTGGGACATCCGAAACTCAGCCCTACAAATATTCAATAATAATAACGAATCTAATAAAGATAATATCTCATCTTTACCTGTAGCTTCGAAATAACAGCTGATTCAAATTACACAGCAAGATTTAAATAATTGCAATTTCTCTAAGCAGGGCTCTGAAGGTGACCGCAGAGCGGCAAAAGCAAAAGTGAGTCCACAGCGCAGAGAGCGAAAAATTGAAACGATGTTGACAGCGCCTCCACAGAAGCAGTGAAACGATAACAGGGTTGCTGACTAGAGAACGTAAAAATTACGCCAGGCGCGTCAAGTAAATTATCAGGCCTGAGCGATACGGACTCCGGTGATGATACGCCATACATTATATATTATATATGAAAGACACGTAACGAACTAAAAACGTTACAGTCAGTGGTTTTAATATTTCGAAGTCCATTGTTAAATCTTAGAAGTTACTAGACGTACGAAATCGGCTTAACGAGACAAAAGTTGCGTTATTTGATTTTTAATGGTAGTCATTTTTATTGCTCTGTCAGTAATACCTCAGGATCTCGATTCATTTCGGATTTTTATTTTGAAGTTAGAACTGCGCCTATTTTAACTTATTTTTGCAGTTAGTTTGGCGGTTATTGTTATGAAATTTCGTAGCATTATAATTTTGACAGCGGTCGTCGTCGGAAGTTTCTTTTTCTACGGTCGCCACATCTTGCATTTTTATACAATTATATAGATAGACCGTAAATATCCTATAGTACTGTCTGTGTCTAGCGATAATCCGTTTATAAGAAAAATCGCTTAAAAATATTTTCTTAAATGACCAATATCGTTTATTGAAATAATTGGGAAGATATGCAACCTAATGGGCGAATTCTTGACAAGACAGATTTAATTTCCTCTTACAAGTGCTGTACGGTGGAGCCACCACTCGTTCTGCGGCCAACACACTTATTTTCTCTAATTCCGCTAACGAAGGTATATCGAAGACGGTGTATCTGTAATTCGTTTGACTAAAATATCTTTGGATGAAAAATTCGCGTTTATGTATTAAAAACCGAATAAACAAAAATAAAAAAATAGGTAGATGTACTGAACATTTCATATGATTGAAAAAAATTGTTTGGTTGGTTGGAAATGACGATTATTGACATTTACCATAATATTTTACATATGAAATAACAGCGATCTTCGGATCAACTCTGACGCCGTTCTCTGTTTAACCATATATTATTATATTAAATCATTTAATGACAGAAAATTCGTATATTAACGTACTGTACCCAAAATCCGTAAATCTACGGATTAATCTGTAGTTCTGGCAACACTGTCTCCGGCAACGACTCTCACTGTCATGTCCGCATAAAACAGAACTACGCTACAATATTCTTTATCCGCTGTAAATTGATCAGCGCGCAGCGGCGCAGAGCTAAACTAAATCTCGGACATATTTAGTGCCACGAAATAGCCCATAAGTTTGCGTATCTTAATTATGGGCGATTTCGAAAGCATTGCAAGCATTTGATTGTGAAAGCGTCTTAACATAATTACGATTAATGTTAATTGAAATTCTAACAAAAAATACGGAAAATCAAATTAATTAGTATAGATTATATTATATTATATACAAACATATCGTTGAAATGTATTAATATCGTTCGTATTAATGTTTAGGACCTCAAGGGCAATCTCCTCATGGACAAGAAAATTTACGAGCTTTGCAAAGTGCTATAGATTCAATGGACGAGAAGGGCATGCAAGAAGATCCAAGATATTCTCAACTTCTCGCTTTGAGGGCCAGGGCCAATGGAAATAATGCAGCTCTGTCTCAAATGCAAATGACTCAGTTACGGTAAGAAAACGAAATTATCTTGTTAAAAAATTCTCTCATATTAAATAATTAATATGAAAGAAATTTATATCTTGATATGAAATGGGATGCGTGTTTTAACACATAACTAAACAGATTTTATTTTCAATAATAAAATTACAGTTGAGGATTGGAACCTTTGGTGTTACACAGCAAAATAAAACACTAAGTCACAACAATACACCAAGACACTGTACTTTTGCACTGCACCATGTTAGCATCAAAAGTAAAGTGTTTTGCTGCATTGTGGTGAATTAGTGTTTTATTTTGAATAAGATAACGTGAAATTATTGATAATAATTCACTTCGCATTTATAGTTAGATCTTCATTCAGAACCTCGCAATTAGTGAAATAAATTAGTGGTTTCGATTAAGTTTGTTTCACTATTTTTTTTCACTCAGGAATTTTCAATTAGTGGAAAAAGTTAACAAACTTTTCCACTAATTATACTTCATAGATAAATGAAACAAGTTTAGATTAGAAAGTGCCCATAAGGACAATGTAAACACTATTGGGCGCTATTCTTGTAACGGTCGCGACCCGAAACTTTTGAAATGTATTAATATCGTTCTTGATAATTTCGGATCGGTTCGGCTTTTTCCGGAATTATATCGCCAAATATTATTTATTAAAATTTATTTTTTTTAATTAAAATTTTCTTTTAATTTTATGAATAAAATGCAGTGTGTTGCATACAAGAAACTTTATTTTATATAAGGACATGTATGTAAAATACCTATGAAACATTGGAAACCGACGTTATGCCACGATCCACGATGGTTTTTATAGTCCACAGTTCACAACACAGATTTTTAGTTTTTAATGCCACTTTTTCATAATTATCACGGGTTTGAGTAAGTAAAATTTAAATTAAACTCACAAGCTAGCAATAATTACGTTGAGAATGGACGCTTTAAACACTTTTCGGTAGTTTTTCAATGAGGACGGTTTAAATTTTTGAAAGATTTTATAATTTTTGAAGATTCTGACTTTGACACATAGACAAACAAATAAAAAGAGACTGGCAAATTAAATGGCAAAGAGAGGGACAACGTTCCCGTAGCGCAACTCAGAACGCAAAATTTCATTCAATTTATGTTGATCTGCGCATTGCGTCTATTGGGCCCACTATCTCATTCTAATATAACAAGAGAGCATATAACATATCAGCCATATAAAACGTAATTTCTAATTAAAAATTAGAACAATCGCCTTTCGTTTTCGTCATCATGACAACCAAGATGACAACATCATGACAATTCGTGAATTCGTCATGTTTGTTAATTTTTCTTTTGGTGATTTACCTTTTTTCTAAACTCTCCATTTTATTGACTTATGAATATGGATAGGGAGCAAATTTTTATATGTATTGGTGCCCCCTTTCTCTGATAGATATGTTAAAGACACCCGGTAAAATAAAAGTAAGTAGTTATATTTATCATCTTATTAAGAAAAAAGTAGAAGTAGTAGTGTCAAAAATATTTCGAAGCTTTCTTAACATAACAAATTAATACAATTATTTTTTTTCATTTTTTGGGTAGGTAGTTTATAGCTGGTTTATAGTAACCAGAAACTTTATTAATATACCTTGTTTTAGGATTAAAACTGGACTTGAAAATGGTTCAGGATCATGATTCTCGTAAAGTCTTCTTTGCTTGGATATTCACTTTGTTATTGCAATTATGCAGTTTTTTCGAAAATGAGATTTTTAATGCCCTTTAAAAAAATTGGCCGACCGTTTCCTGCAAGAGTCAGTTCTTCTGCATTTAAAATTAGTAGGTGGGTGGAATAAACACTGTTATTTTTTGTTATTATATTATAAAAAGTTTATTTATTTTTATGTATAAATAAATATGTTTATAAAACAGTACAATTTTTGCTTTTTTTATAATTTCCCTTATAATAGTAGTATTCTTTCGTTCTGAAAGGAACTGCGAATTTTCACTTACACTGATTTATTCTCTACACCACGTTCCCTTTACGTGGTATAGGGAATAAATCAGTTTAACTAAAAATTTGCAGTTTCAGAATGAAAGAATACTACTAATAATGGCTAATTTAAATTTTCCGCCAGCCAGAATGTGCGATAATGTCTTACGATACGTTTTATACCTATCTCTTTCTTTTTCATATGAAGCACACATAACAAAGAAAGATAGCAATAAAGACGTATGTCCTGCCACGGTCCTGCTAATTCGTTTCAAAATTGTTATTCTGAGTTGCGCTACGGGAACGCGGTCCCACTCTTTACTATGGGATTTGTCAGTCTCTTTTTATTTGTTTGTCTATGCTTTGACACGAGGAAATTATTTCTTGCATTATTTGCGGTCGTTCTTAGCAACCTCTATAGCAGCGCCAGGTCGCGTACAACGGTCGCGACCCAAAACAATTATATATTTTGACGGGCTTTCCAATCTAAATTTATTTCCTTTATCTATGTTATACTTCAAAATTTGCGACAAATGTCATTTTTGTCTTTGACTGTCATCTGTTAAGACAAAAATGTGGTTAGAAATCAAAATGTTATTGTTTTATAAGTTAAATATTAGGCTTTCTCTATGGATACAACTGATTACCGGAAGTTGTTGCTAGGATATTCTATTAATTTTAATTGTGTTTTTTAGACATTGCGAATGATCTTAAACTAAAATGTATAAAGTGTAATTTAAACCACTAATTTATTCCACTAATTGCGAGGTTATGCCATCTACTAAGAAAATATCATGTAGCCATAATATAATCATTAATATTTCTAATTTGATTTAGTATTTAAGAATCTTAAGAAAAATTGTGATATGATATACATATTATAACACTCTATTTGTCATTTTCAGAAATCAAATTATGGCCTACAGATACTTAGCAAGAAACCAACCTATTCCGCAACAGATAATCTTGGCTTTGCAAGGTAAGAGAGCGGACGGATCTCCTCTACAATCTTCTACGCCACCTCCGACGCAAGTAAGTACGATTGCATTTTAATCTATTTTACCTACACTAAGCTACTCGCAAGTTGCCTCTACGAAGTACTCGTCCAAACAGGCCATGCTTAATTAAAGTCTCCAAAGTGTCCAACGAGTCAGGCAATAATCCGATAGACGACATCCAAAAAATATCAGAAAATACAATTTTTTTCAAACGACATAAAAGTATTAAATTATGCGACGCGATTGATAGGCGTAAAAGTAAAGCACGGCCTTGCTTTCGGTTGTAGTAAGAACAGGGCAGCTCCTCAAGCTGCCTACTTTGTTGCCACCTCTTCGATTGTATTGGATCGCGTACGTTGTGCGCGATCTGGCGCTGCCAAACAAAACCGTGAACTAGGACAGAAAGAACTTTATCTTGTCAAATGACCCAGCATTATAGCAGCGCACAAGGTAATTGACCAAATTATCAAAAATGTGAGGCAGAGTCAAGTGTAAACATTGTCAACCAGGATATTAGTAATGATGGCGCATATACATACATTGATTGTGTCTTTCTTTGTCCTCTTTAAGAATGGAAAATTTGATCGTAATACAGAACCAAAAGAAGCTGGCAACAAAAGTATGATCCAACAAAGAAGACTTTTAGCACAAAAAACGTCCAAGAAAAGCCTCCAGAAAGCTTATTAAACCGTCTGAAACAGAAAAAACAATATATCTCTTAACTTATTACTATAAAATTAATTAAAATTAAAGAACACTGTTTATACATTGACTTTTATTATTTATTAGATAAGTTTGTATTAACGAATTTTCACACATAATAATTCATCAGCTTTTTTGCAATCTTTGAGATTTTCATTTCTAGATGGTTTGATTAATTACTATATAATAATAATAATAATTCATTGAAAATGTAAATCAAATAATACTTTATCAAAAGTAGTTTTTGTTAATATATCTTATAGATATATTTTTATAAACAAAATATAATATTTGAATTCAAAAATAGTAGATAAAAATATTTCTGGGTGGTTTGACTAACGTCCACTCTGAATAAAATACAGTGAAAATTAAGATCTAGTAGCTTATCAAAAGTTTTTTTATTAAAGATTTTATTTTTTTATTAAAAAATTTATCATATATTTTCATAAATAAAAACTTTGGATTTAATTTTTAAATAAATTTTAATTCTCTAGTAAATATTAGATTATAACAGAATAAACAACCTACACTAAAACGCACAAAACTTGGTATTCATTTCACTTATTCTTATTTTATCTAGTATTCTGATTCTTATTTTATCTAGTAAACTTTGAAATAAACCGTAAAAATAAACGTCTCTAGTTTAGCTAGATCATGAAATTAAGGAACAACAAACGGCAAAATTCTTATGTATGCGAGTTGACTAGTGGGATGCAGAAGATAGTTCTCAGTAGCGATGGGAAAAACCGATTAATTTCAATAACCTTTGAGTACTCGAGTTTCAAGCGATTGCAATAACCGAGCGATCGCTCGAGCGAAGTATCGCTCGTATTTAAAAATACGGTTTTTCATCCGTCGCTTGTTGTAAGTACTCATTAACGCCAAGCGCGAAGCAGTAAGTTGCGTGCGCAGGGCACATATTACATCGGTAAAGAATGACAAGTAGCAAGCGGTTCGCTTATTGCTTCATCGCTTGATTTAGTTTATTTCAAACTATTGTCGATGTATATTGTATATGTTGTAGTAGGTCGTAAAATGTTGTCCCACAGATACGCAACGCATAACGTCGTATAAATTTGCTACCTGCAATGTATGTAGAAAATTCGCTCGGCTTTTTATCGAGTATGTCACATTAAAATCGGATTTCAATTTATTTCATTCTAGGATCGCTTGCGTTCGCCGCTCGTAACTCGTCACTTGCATCGCTCGTTCATAATCGAGCGATGTCGGTTATTTCAATAATATAGTACTCAAGCGAATTTTCGCTCGGGTTATCCCATCATTAGTTCTCAGAAGGGCCTAAGGTCACTGAGGCGAGTTATTACATACTTTCTAGCATTTTTTTATTATATACTTTCTATATACAGTCTCTTCTTCCACAATTACGTAAAACTATACAGAAAATTTTATCATAAGACTATAAGAGCCGCTAAGGACCTTTATTATAATAGGAGAATAGTCAATTCTGGTAATGTTGCTAAAGAAACATGGTCTGTTGTGAATGAGTTGAGAAACAAAGCTTCTTCGTCTAGCAATATCTCTACCTCACCTGAGAACCTTAACGATTACTTTGTAAATGTAGCGAAAAACTTAACTAATACCATATGTCCTCCTCATGATCCACTTTCTTATCTCTCTAATGATATTGTAAACTTACACAGTTTCTTTTTTTCGCCCATAGTTTTAGAAGAGCTTCGCAGTACAATTAATACCATCAAAAATAAATCCTCTTCTGGGACCGACGGGCTAACTTTAAAAATGTTTTCGAATCTGCCAGAGAGCACTCTGAATCACCTAACAACTTTAATAAACATGTCGTTTCAAAATGGTATTTTTCCAAAATGTCTTAAGACGGCAATAATCATTCCTCTGCATAAAGGAGGAGACAAAGATGAAGCTTCTAACTATCGCCCAATTGCACTCCTTCCAACGCTATCTAAGATCATAGAAAGGTTGGTTAAAAGAAGGCTGGTATCTTTTCTGTTTAGGTACAAAATACTTACTGAATATCAATTTGGATTTCTAAGCAACAAGTCCACAAATGACGCTATGTTTTCCCTCCTTAATAAGGTTTACTCCAGCCTAAACAGCCATCACTCTACAGCAACAATTTTCTGTGATTTTTCTAAGGCGTTCGATTGTGTAAATCATAAGATCTTAATTAATAAATTGCAGCACTATGGGTTTAGGGGATCATCTCTCGAATGGTTTAAGTCGTATCTGAGCAACAGAAGTCAACTCGTGAGGGTGGATACCACGTTGTCTTCTAGCAAGCCAATAGAATGTGGAGTACCACAAGGCTCAGTACTAGGCCTTATTTTGTTTCTTCTTTTTATTAACGACATTGCTAACATAAACATCAGTGGCAAAATATGTCTTTTTGCGGACGACACTAGCTTCACTTGGAGCAACAAGGACATCACGGCACTTCATAGGATTATATCAAATGACTTTATCACCATTAAATCTTGGTGCGATTCGAACCTCCTGAGTCTCAACATTTCTAAAACTAAAGCTTTGTCGTATAAAAACTCGTTGCAGCCTTTTGTACTTAACAACACCAGCATTGACGTCGTCAAGTCTGTAAAATTCTTAGGGCTTGTTGTGGACAATTCTCTGAAATGGGACATACATATCGAAGCTTTGTCGAAAAAATTGAGCTCTGCCTGTTTTCCATTAAGGTCTGTTTCTAAGGAGCTTAACTTGTCAGTGGCTAGAACTGTTTATTATGCACTTTTTGAGTCGCACCTCAGGTATGCCCTTCCATTCTGGGGTGCGTGTTGTGCGACTCAATTTGACCGCATTTTCAGGCTCCAGAAGAGAGCTGTTCGATATTCACTGGGACTAAACAGCAGAACTCATTGCCGGGACTTTTTTAAAAAATTAAAAATATTGACTCTTCCTTATTTATATTTGAATCTGTTTGCCTAATACGTAAACATGTATCAACTTCTCAAGAAAGGCCATCTCACACTTATCCACTCAGGAACGCGGAGCAAGATCTTTATCTACCTACCCCACGCTCAGAGTTAGTTAAAAGTTCAATATTATACAACTCGAAAAAAATGCACAATCTCCTGCCATTTGAAATCAAATCCATAACATGATTTTTTTCATTTCGCAAAGCATTGAACTCTTATTTACTAGACAAGGCTTTCTACGCCGTAAATGAATTATATTTTGAAAATCAAATTTGATCTTGTAAACACTGGTCTAATGTTTGCTATTGCTATATTTACTAATGACATCGAAATGAATTTATTTATAGGTTATTGATATTTTACTATAAACTAGCTAAATATTTTTGAATGTTATTTTTATTTTTTTGTTCTTTGACATTATAAACATTTATAAATGTTTATCTAACAATAAGACTGACAATATTATTTGTATAATGTTTTGTATTATCTTTTGTTTGTTTGTTTGTGTACCTTGTTTTTTTACTTTGTTTGTTAGTTTACCTTTGTCTACAAATTGAAAAATTTTTTGACAATAAAGGCATTTATTTATTTAGCAAATTGACTTGATTTATTTAATTTTAAGTATGCCTCGCCGACGAAGCAGTGATAGCCAATAGAGATGGAAATACTCTCTATTAATAAATATTTTTTTCTTTTTGATAATTATCTGTTTTGTTACATTATTAGAGAAAAATTGCCTGTAAATTCTAATTAAACACTTTTTCAAAAAAAAAACAAATGTGTTTCGTTTTTGAAAAAGATAGAAGTAAATATACGTTATACAATTTTTTTCGAAACCTATTTTTTTCTTAGAAAATTCACAATATCTTTAACTTTTTTCAGTTAGTTTATTAGTAGTAGAAAGTAAAATTTTATTTTTAATTAGGTATAGCAGTTAAGTAAATAAATGTATAAATTATATATTATGCATTATTAGATATGTTTACATAAATACAGCTTATTTATAGATTAGTAAAATAAAAAGTCCCCGTAACTATTAATAACCACCATCAAATACAAGATATTTTACTGCTTAATAAATCATATTTTTTAAAACAAAATAATTTTTACACATTCATGTTTTACAATTGCTTTTTTAACATTTTATTGTGAATAGTTGACATGAATATTTATGGGATTATGAGGTGACCGTGAAAATTATCAATATGCGAAATTATTATTTTAATATAATTATTAACGAGCGGTTGTATTTAATAAATACTTTTTTAATGTGGTGTTTTATTTGGTCGCGGAGTATACCTACTTAGAAAGTGAATTTTTACGTTGATTTAAAAAATGGTTTAGTGAGATTGAGGGTGTTAGAATAAAATTAATTTTTGTTGATTTAAAGAAAATAAATGTTTAGAGAGATTGTGAGTGTTTTCAAATTAGGAGAATCCACCGGCTCATTCGAGAAATTCACCGGAAGCAGCTACAGAGGCAGCGCCTCCGTTACAACAGCCACAACCGATGAGACCTCCTCCGATGGCTTATCCCCCAACGGGACCGTTTCAGCACCCTCCTGGTCCGCCACCAGGTCCTGTAGCTCCCCAGGTATTAATATAAATAACTATTAATATAAAGGCTACTGTTTCATTGTATATTCTTTTCTTGGAATTATAACTGGTGCATCATCGATTTATTCCGAGAATTTATCTTTTAATAACTTAACTTGTGATATAGGGTGGTCCAATTAAAAAACATACTGGTACATTCAATGCACAGAGTTGCGAAAATATAATGTTTTAATAGGAAATCTCGAAAACTATAAGGAGGTAAATAAATTAATTTGATTATAATTTTTTTTTATATAAAAATATATTAATTTTCATAAACTTTAATTATATATATTAAAATTTATCAGCTAATTAGTGTGAATAATTTATTACGACATAAAAAATATCCAATTTTCATGTTCATTCCTAGTAAAGAACGTGACACTGTACTAACACTTGCAGGTATTCTTTCCAGTATTATAGGCGTCAAGTATTTTACTATACAGGGTGCTACAAATTCGAAGTACGAGCATTGGTAACCGTAATAGATACGAATATGGTTAAATTGGGGCAAAGTTGCGCATTGGGATGTTCGGCAAGAAGCCATCCAATTTTTTTTTAAATTTCAAGGATCGCCGAGTTTTTTGGAAAAAACGGATTTTTTTGAAAATGAATTTTATTTTTTCCTGTCGTTACTTTTAATAAAATCAAAATACTAATTGCATATTCTCATAGCCACTTTATAAGGGCTATCTGATAGTATTTTTAGATTTTCAAATTAGCTAATAATTTGTGAGCTACAGAAGCCAACTTAATTTTTTTAAATACGGACCTGCGTTTTTTATTTCAGATTTTGAAAGAACTCGGTGTCCTGAGTACAATGATATGCCACACTTAATTTATTTTTCCGACATTTGAACATCATTTATTTAAACTAATTTCAAGTCCGGCTCTGTTTTTTTAAGATTTAATGTATTCGTCGTTACAATATTGATAAGCTTTCAAACTTAACAATGACGTAGGGTAAAACATTGAATACGGAAAATCAAATGCAATAACTAAAGGGGCATTACTTGGCGTCATCGTCATTTGTAAAAGTGAAATCAATACATTTTAATATTTACAATAAAGAGTACAAAATGCATTTAGAACTATAACAAGAAGTTATGTTCAAAGAGCTATAAATAAGATTACGAACATGTAGAGAGTAGAGAATTAGAAATTAGTTTATACAAGTTGATTTATTTATAACAACTACGATTAATATTATGAATATTATTAGATCGTACATTTAGAACTATAACAAGAAGTTATGTTCAAAGAGCTATAAATAAGATTACGAACATGTAGAGAGTAGAGAATTAGAAATTAGTTTATACAAGTTGATTTATTTATAACAACTACGATTAATATTATGAATATTATTAGATCGTACACTGAGATTCCAAATTCACAATAAAAAAAGTTAAAAATAATATTTTTAAATTGCTAACCTTGATATTATATATTTGAATCTTTGAATTGGCTCGAATTTCCTTATTCAATGTTAATTAGTGCTGATCGATATTGTTTCGATGAATATAATCAGATTAAATAATTTAAAAAACCAAAGTTGTACTTGAAATTATTTTAAATAATATTTAACTAGTTTTGTTGTTGTTAAGGTACCCAAAACCAAAAAAAAGTATCAAGTGTGGCATATCATTATACTCAGGAGTCAGGAGGCCGAGTTCTTTCAAAACCTGTAATAAAAAATGCAGGTTCGTATTTAAAAAAAATACGTTGGTCACTGTATCACACAAATTATCAGTTAATTTGAAAATCTAAAAATACTCTCAGATAGCCCTAATAAAGTGTCAATGAGAATGTGCAATTAGTTTTTTGATTTTCTAAAAAGTCACGACAGCAATAAATGAAATTGGTTTTCAAAAAAATCCGTTTTTTCCAAAAAACTCAGCAATCCTTGAAATTTTTAAAACTTTGTTGATGGCATCTTGGTGAACATCTCAAGGCTCAAAGCAAAGGCCCCAATTTAACCATCTTCGTATCTATTACGGTTTCCGAGATACCAATGCTCGTACCTCGAATTTGTAGCTCCCTGTATGCTTGATTATATACTTTTTGTCGAACTACCTGAATCCATTTTTGCTTTTAATCAAATCAATGTGATAAAGCTGGGAGCTACATATAAAATGTTGTTCCTGGAGAGTTCTATTCAGAGTGTTATTGTACCCAACAACAACGCAATTACGCCCTCCTTTTCATGTTGACATTTTTTGAAAATTTTAATATCATCGGAAATTGCCACAACACAACGCTTCGCTCAGTTCGGGTTCGTTTTCACTTAATTTTTACTACCCGAAGCAGCATTTCATCGCACAACTTTCGTGCCTGAGAATTTTATAGCTTTAATAACTTAGTTTGAAAGTTCGGATTTCTGCCGTACCGGGCGCTGCTGTTGTAATTTTAAAAATCGGTTGTATGGCACCAAGCCATTATACGCAAAAGTGATAAAATATTGTAGTGATTATTGTATTGATATACAAATCCATAAATGTACGACCAATTGGAGCAAATGGTACAAAAGATTTACAGTTTGAATGAAATTATATATATCTATCGATATCTAGGGGCCATACAGGCTGTGCCAAAAGATTCGCAGCCAATGGAATTTTTTTTATTATTGAGTTATTACTTGAATGTCACTGAATACTTTTGATATTTACTACATAGACGCAGTATAGAACCCTGAGTATATGTAAAGAGAATTTTTATAATTTGTTGTTATGACAACTAACGCAAGAAAAAAGTGAAAACTAATTTCTTGTTATTGAGCGTAGTGAAACATTTCCGCATAAACTTTTTTCAATAGCTTAATTAAAAAAAATACATTTGGTGCAAACTTTTTGGCACACGCTATTTTCTTTACAATACAAAAATTTATGTTAATCTTAATTTTGGGTTAATATGTTTCTTTTTTAAATTCTAGCCATATAAACCTCAGCCGCCCCAACAGCATGCTAGACCGGGACCTCCGATACAACATACCTCAAAACAATATAGAATGCCAACTACAGTGCCAAAACCAGTTGGGTTAGATCCTATAGTACTGCTACAAGAAAGGGAAAACAGGTAACTTATAAATTTTATTAAGATACCTATAATGCACAGAATATCTAGCTACGCAACAGAAAAATACTCGGAATGAAAGAGCTAAAATTGCACAAATAGAATACTAGATGGCGCGACAATATCATAATCAGAATATAATTGGAAATTTTGAACTTTCGGTTTTGGATCGACGGCTTTGTAGCTCGGCTATATATGCACAGTTGCCAGATTCAAAAAGGCTTTAATTGGCATCCAATTCTTTTTCTTGTGTATAATAGTTTCTTCCTATTCTTCTTTTCTTGTCAGATACACTTATATTAATTACTCGTTTGGCTTTTAAAATCGTTTTAAATATATTATTACAAAACATATACATTTTTAATATATACTACTTCATTATGTTAACTAAGAAAATACCTTTAATTACCTTTAAAATTAATAATATACAAGGCGATTGATAGTGATATTTATTAATGCTGGAACGTTAGTAATGAAATATAAGTTTAATAAAATAATGGAAATAATTTATTAAAATGCAGTACAAAAAATGTTAATTGACTATAAAATACTATAATAACAAATTTCTTCTGTTTTCCACGTTATTTATATAGACCTAGATAGATTTTAAAAAGCGATACAGGTATAATTAATAATATATTATTTCGGCATAAAAGTTGCTGTCACGATATCACAATAAATTAAAATTCGTAAAATAAATTAAAATTATTAATTAAACAATTCTTTATAAAAAAAACGCAAGTATACCAAATTTGGGCCCAATCGAACTCCAGGAAATTATATCATAATAGTGTACTATATTATGGTACCACTCGATATGCTTTAAGGTACCATAATATTGCAATGTCACCGAAAATACGTAGTATACCAAATTTAAGCACAATCGAACGCTAGGAAATGGTATCGTAACATGGTACTATATTAAGGTACCACTTTATATACATCATAGTACCATCATATTAAAATGTAACCGAGGATACGTAGTATACCAAGTTTAAGCCCAGTCGAACGCCAGGAAATGGTATCGTAGTATGGTAGTATATTAAGGTACCACTTTATATGCATCATAGTACCATCATATTACAATGTAACCGAAGATACGTAGTATACCAAGTTTAAGCAGCCCAATCGAACGCCAGGAAATGGTATCGTAATATGGTACTACATTATAGTACCTCTTGATATGCTCCATGGTACCATAATATTACAATGTCACTGAAGATACGTAGTATCCCAAGTTTAAGCCCAATCGAACGCCATGTACGTAATATGGTACTATATTATAGTACCAGTTGATATGCTTCATGGTACCATAATAATGCAATATCACCAAAAATACGCAAATATATATCAAATATGAGCTCAATCGAACGCCAGGAAATGGTATTGAAATATGGTACTATATTAAGGTACCACTTTATATGCATCATAGTACCATCATATTAAAATGTCACCGAAGATACGTATAAAGCTTAAGCCCAATCGAACGCCATATATGTAGTATGGTACTATATTATGACCACTTGATATATGCTTCATGGTACCATAATATTGTAATGTCATGAAAAATACGCAAGTACCGTATGATACCGAAAAAAACGGCGCCCAGTTGGCTGGAAAAGGATGATCGATGACTTTTCCCATATAAATTTACATATAAAATGACAGCGATCTTCATTTCATAGCCATCGCTAACGCTGTTTTTTACCCATTATACGGTATGAACACAATCGAACGTCAGGAAGTGGTATCATAATAGTAGGAACAATACTTATTATGACGAATTACAATCAAACGTCAGGAAGTGATTGTAATTCAGCTCGTAAGATTTAATTCCAACTAACATGACAAATCAAATACTTAGACGTTTGAAAAAAGAGCTCTGATCTATTTTAATATATTTAACTGATGTAGCAAATTTGAAGGTAGGCTTTATCAGGAGATATTACAATATGAATTACACTATGGCAACACTGCACAAAGTTCTTTTAAATTTTGTTTGCAGAAAACTATTTTCTTTTAAAAATGTGTTGCCCTCTATTATGTAGTAGCGAAACTACCGCATCAAAATATCTGATTTGGAGACAGGCTTTAAAAGCCTGTCTCCTTTTGCTACGTACAATTTTATACATCTAACGAGGCTTTTGTCGCGTAGCTAGATATTCTGTGCTATAAAGTAACTGTATTGTCGTCTAGTAAAATTTAATAGCTTTTGGATAATTATATATTTATCCTTTTATTTAAATATTCATATTACTTATTGTTAGATATTTTATATACCGGGTGCATGTCAAAAGTAGCTCACCCCTATAACTTTTTTATTTTTTTAGATAAAAAAACGAGATTTGATATGTGAGTATATGAAATAAATTAGGATTTATTGGCGTATTCAATTGTTTTTGCTCACTTCCTGTTTCACCGGAAATGACTCCAACTTTTGATTTTTAAATGACATTCTCAGTATGTTTTACTTGATTCGATAGAAAATTACAATATATCAATAGAATGATACACCACATGTCAACTTTCGACATTTTCACATATGGTTTATTTGAAATTGTAACATGCGGTGCATAACGACAATTTGACTCGAAATATCAAGTGTGTGGTATCAAATTATTCGTAAAAAAATGCCTTTTCCAAATATGCTAATGAGCCACGACCCTTATTCCATTTGAAAAAATTGAGATTTGAATAAAAATATGATTTGGCCATCTTTTAACCCGCCATTTCAACCTTAAATCGATTTTTGCAAAGCTCCTTGATTAAAAATTAGTGTTTTTAACACAGCCATGGCACTCTATATTGAAATTTCTAGATGCTATTTAAAAATCAAAAGTTGTAGTCATTTCCGGTGAAACAGGAAGTGACCGAAAATCATTAAATACGTCAATCAATCCTAATTTATGTCATATACTAACATACCAAATCTTGTTTTTTATCTAAAACAAAAAAAAGATATAGGGGTGAATCACATTTGAGACGCACCGGGTACACCGCCGAACTAGTCAGTTTTCCTGATTACTGGAATGTCAGATTGTTGTTTCTTATTTTATTTTATTTTTTATTTATGGTTTATTAGGTATTATTTTTAATATTCAATTTTAAACCTTTTTAGAAACTGAATCGATCTTTTGTCTGTAATACTTTGTTTTGTCATTCGGTTGCATTGTTTTCAATGCTTTATCCAAAAATAACCTTTATGGGTATTTCGCCACTGCACTGCTAGAAAAATCTTCAAAATAAAATAGTTATTTTTTGTAAACACTTCTGCGTTAAACCTAAACGGACGCTGCTTGTCAGAAGTTGTGTTTACAGTACCTAATAAAAATTTGCCTAACAAAGAAAAAAAAATGCCTAACAGTGCATATGTATATTATATATGCAATTTTTTGCAGTGGCAAAATACCCATAAAGGATTTTTTTAGATAGATGAATCCGCCACATAGGTATAGACATTTTTTTTCAATGCTTTGTTATGTTACTTATTCTATTCCTTCTTTTCCTACTTTTCTAACCATGCCTTGTCCTATCTAAATACATCTCAGCATTTTTCCTTCCAATCTTTCTAAAAGTTAAACCAACTTTTGTAATATCCATTGTGGTAGGTTTGTATATATTTCTCTTGGTAACTTCAATGGGCTTTGGCCTAAACTTTGCGTTTTACTTTTGTTATTATTTTTCAGAGTTGCAGCTAGAATAGCAGCGCGTATGGAAGAACTTACCAATCTGCCATCAAACATGTCCGAAGAGCTGAGGATGCAAGCCCAAATTGAACTGAGAGCTTTGAGATGCCTGAATTTCCAAAGACAACTAAGGAGCGAAATCATCGCCTGTACCAGGAGAGACACGACGCTAGAAACCGCAGTGAATATTAAAGTAATTCAGTATTGAAATGCCATTTAATAACTAATAACATGTCGTTACAGGCGTATAAGCGAACAAAGCGTCAGGGCCTGCGCGAAGCTCGGGCCACAGAAAAATTGGAGAAGCAACAAAAATTGGAAGCGGAACGCAAACGAAGGCAGAAGCATCAAGAATTTTTAGCTTCCGTGTTGCAACACGGAAAGGATTTCAAAGACTTCCACCGAAATAATCAAGCTAAGTTGGCGCGACTGAACAAAGCGGTGATGAATTACCATGCCAATGCCGAGAGAGAACAGAAGAAAGAACAGGAACGCATAGAGAAGGAACGTATGAGAAGGTAAAGTTTGCTCAAATATTTTCTTCACGAAATCACGTTATCAGTCTAGATAGCCTGCATTCGCTAAAGCAATGGAACAGATTGGAAGCCGTGATTAGGTCACTACACTGTTTTAAATCACTGATATTAAAAAATCTCTGTATCAGTTAACAGCGCGGTCCAAATATTACGGTATTGCTCACCCAGTAGGGGTGAGCAATACCAGCATTATATTAATTAATGCTAGTTTTTAATTATTTTTGATTTCTAGATTGATGGCAGAAGATGAAGAAGGATATAGGAAACTAATTGATCAAAAGAAAGATAAAAGACTTGCGTTTCTCCTTTCCCAGACTGACGAGTATATCAGCAATTTGACTGAGATGGTAAAGCAACACAAACTAGAGCAAAGAAGAAAACAGCTAGAAGAGGAGAGACGAAAAAAGGTACAATGTAATTTACTAAAAATAACAAAACATATGATGTTATAAGATGTAAACATAATCAAACAAATACTTTGGAAATTTAGGTAAATTAATAAAAGTTGGCATGCACGTCATCAAAATACTGGACGAATGTACCTTGCAATGTTGCCACTGCTACTTTTTATACTTTGATTTTTGACAAGTTTCAAATAGAATTCACCGATTTTTCACTTCAAGCTGGAGCAAGCTTGCAACTCTCTAGCGCCAGAGCTGCAAGCTCACAGAAAACTTAAGTTTTTTGTTTGATTTAAATCATTTTAATGACTTAAGTCATTTAATTTTCAGTCATTTTTTGAAAGCTGACTTAAGACTTAAAATTTAAATCTTTTTCAAAATGATTTGTGATTTTTTTTATTCCTAAATAGAAAAAGATTTAAGTCTTTTTAGAAAAGACTTAAGTAAATAATAAGATTTAAGTCTTTTATAAAAGACTTAAGTCAGATGTTTATATATTTTTATAGTACATTTTTAGCAGCAACAACAGTATTTCTTTTTAAACTGTTAGGCAGCAACCCCAAGCAGAAGAATAAAAAAACAATGCTCAATACCACTAGCAAATAAGTCGTTAGTTTTTCGGAACCGGTTTTGATTATTTGTCGTGTTACGCGTGCGTAGTGAGTCTGTTGTCTTTTAAGTGAGTCGCCGGCTCCGTTATGTAACCCGAAAGACGAACGAAAGAAACTTATCTCGAATATATTGAAGAGAACCTTAAAATCCTATGCTTATGCCATCGACATATTACATAGAGATCAAAACAAATCACCACTTTTTAATGGACATGTATTCAATGCCATCTTAACTGTAATAAATACATATGTATAAAGTACTACCAAATTGGTTAAATTTTTATAAAAAAACATGTTGTGTTTGTAGAGTTGTTCTGAAAATTATCCGTTTAATTTTATATGGTTTTAGACTCTGTACCTACAATAAATTAGGAATAAATATGATACTTAGTAAGAAAATCGCTAATTGGTAATACAAGAAAATTAATATTAACATTTAAAAAAAGGTACTTAAATTGAATTCTGGTTGTCTTGGCTTGAGGATAATTATATTGATTTATGTCATTTTACTGGCTTAACTTGCAGATTATCATGATTTAAGTCAAAAATATAGACTTAAATCATGATGATTCGTCATAAAAACAACTTAAATAACGTTATATTGGTTTAAGTCTTTACAAAAATGAATTGACTTGAAATAAAATGATTTAAGTCAAAGACTTAAGATTTAAATCATTTAAACTTTATGTTGAATTTAACTTAAGACTTAAGTCTTTTTAAAACTTACTTGTTGCAGATCTGTGGAGCACGCTGAAAGATTTATATTATATGTATTTTCAATAAAAGCCGTAAAATGTATGCAACGGTGTCAATATTTAACTCTCTAACGCAACGGTAAAACGGGCTCGCCATGGTCCCTCTTTCCTGTTCAACATTTAGTAAAAATGAGACAGGTTGCTGATTCCGACTATCTAGCGATTTTCGCATTTTATTGCAACGAAAATGACAGTTTACACTAAACCAAACGAGATTTAATTTCAAATTTGTCAAAGAAAACTCAATAAAATTGAAAATGACATATATCAAGTTTGCAAAGAAAAGTCTCATGACAACTAGCAACATCTGCCATGACTACCAACGTAACGCTTTTTCATCGACCAATTGGTTTACTTTATGCGACAGTGTGCTGTCTTTTTTAACCAGGATATGAGATTATATTAAGTTTCAAACGAAGTTTTATTGATTAGAAATTTAAGTTGGTAATAGTTTCGACTAGAGATGAGCAAAACTGCGATTTTCCAATCGCAGTTGAAACTGCGATTGTGATTTATAAATCGCTGCGACTGAAACCTGCGATTGCGATTTTGATATTTTTAAATTGGTACGCTGTAAACTGGGAAACTCATTCCCAAATTTTTTTTTATAAAAACTTACAAAGAAACTGTTGGGTGTTTCGATGCCATGTGCCTTTTAAAATTTGTAGTGCTTATTTTTTATATTTTTGCTGCACTCATATTGCACTTAATATTTTCATCAATTGCCAAAAAAATCCACAATTAACTTAGTTTCCTTTTTTTAAACATTTTTGATTAGAACAGAACCAATAAATTTAAAAGGGAAATTAAAAATACATAAAATGTTCAAAATATTCGAATGTGCTTTTCGACAGGCTGTATGTATACTAACGAGAAATTTATTATAAAAAAGGTTGCCGCCAACCTTACAGATAACTAGAAAAAAAAACTGTTTATTTTATCTTTTTTTCTTTTAAAAACATTTTCTTTATACAGGGTGTCCCAGAAATAAGTGCAAATATTTTAACTGGTAATATAGTTCAACCCCAGAAACACGCCTATGAGGTTTTTTTGCGAAAAAAAAATTTTGAAAATTCGAAATTTTTTGGAAATTTTTTTAGTTTTTAGTTAAAAAACATAATTTCTTGATAATATGGCAACATAGGTATTACATTAAATTTGCAAGAAGGAAAATCCAGAAAAGATCCAGAGGTTCTCAAAATTTTAGCAAATTTTTTTTTTTTTGGTAATTTTCAAAGTAAAATAACTCCGTTATTTTGGATTTATTTGATAAACGATAAATAGAAAATATGTTTCTTTTATCGAGATCTACCACCCCTTAAAATATTTGCACTTATTTCTGGGACAGCCTGTATATGTAATTTAAAAGAAGCCGACACGCTGACGGCTTTCATACGACCAGTCCAGTGCAAGTGCAAACTTTCGAACTTTTAGATAAATAAAATGACAATATCACATTTTATTATATTTGAAATTTCTCTAAAATGAAAAAAACTGATTGTACTTTTAAAGGATGAATTTAAATTAACATAGCAGTCGATCCACAACTGTTAATACTGAGAAAACTATATTATATTATATTATGGATTGTTATAAAAATGTTGATAATAATATAATATATAACAAAATGTAATAAATAAAAAGGGCTGAAAAAAGTATCCATATAGCGATTTTTATTGGCTGCTCTTCGTTGACTGCGATGAGCTGCGATTTTCGTTCAGCTCCTCGTTCGCCTGCCGTGTTGATGACTCGGCCGCACAGTGCTTCGAACATATGGCTCTAGAGGACAAAAATCCAAAACTTCTCTTTTATTGTAAGCAATTTATTCAAACTAGGTTTATTTGACACAAATGATGAGTACTCTCATTGTACTAAATGATGATGTTCTTAGTCCCACGTTTATGAAAAAAAAATCTTATAAATAATAATAATGTTGGAGCTGTGTTCCATCTAAGCAAATAATAAGTTATAGTATGAAAACGGTGTAAGTATTAAACAAATTCCTGTGATAAAAAAGAATTGAAATAACATTAGAACATGATTCCTACAATATAAAGCCTAATATAAGATAAAAATGTTTTTCTTTAATGAAAAAGAAACATTAATGTTATATTTAATTAAAAAAAAACTTAAGATACTATAAATTTACTTTAGGACAACAAAATGCATAGATCGTAACTGCTTTGATTCAGGAGAATCACTGCTGACAGAATCTTCCAAATTTATAGTATCCAAATCACAGGTAGATGAAGTATCCTCACATATAAGATATTTCTGTACATCATTTTCTAATATGTTACTTTTTCGCGTTGTTGCTGTTCATTTTGTCGGTATGAGGGGTTCGGATGTTAATAGTTACCTCTTTAATAGACCATATTCATATATTATTTTTTCCTTTTCTTGGGCATGAGATTTTATAATAAATTGAAAGATGGACACTTTTTTTATGCGACGTTTCAATCCAACATACTGGACTTTTTCAGGCACAAGTGGTGTCTCATTTGACTGGAAGGTTCATCAATATCTAATAAGAACATATTTTTTGAAATACAAATAATTTTGAGTTCTTGTCCTTATGATCAAGCCAAGTATTAGCCAGATCGGCATTGCTTATCAATTTTACTCCACCTGAAAAGTATTATAAATAAAGTTCGTCGCAAGCAGACGCAGGTGAACTATACAAAAATTAAAAGTGTATGAATATGGCAACAAAAAATATTCAATAAATACGATATGTTTTGATATGTTTTTTAAATGCCTTTTGAAGTTTGAAAACGTAAAATTTTTATACCCATTTAAGAATCATCTTAAAAAATAAATAAAAACTAAACAATCACGAACTTGTTTAGAAATAAATTTAAAGTACATACCTTGTTTAACAATATTCATAGTGGCTTTCAATTAAGTACGTACCCGTTTAACTCCATAATATACAGAGCTACTATGAATGTTATTCTTTTCACTGATGAGATAATGATCGCAAAATTAATTTTTAGTGAAAATATTTGCTAACAAAAACGCTGTTTATGAAAAATAATATACAGGATGGTTGAACATTGCTATAAGGATAAAATTATATATTCAGATATTAGTAAATTTTAACTTATTTTTTGATTTTTGTCCATGGGACGAAGCACTGTGGGCCTGTGCGAACGAGAATCGCAGTTGCGATTTTCATTCCCAGCTCTTCGTGCGCCTGCTCAGTGCCGTGTCGAGGCACCGGCGCCGCCGCGCCGGTGCGGACGAAAATCGCAATGCTGTGATTTTCGTTCGCAGCTCTTCGTTCGCGTGCCCACTACGATTGCAAATCGCAACTGGTGTAATATTGGTAGCCTAAAAATCCAAAATCGGCAGATAGATGTTTCAATCGCAAGTCGCAGTTTGCTATGGAAAGGAATCGCATGTTGCGATTGCGAATTTACAATCGCTGCGATTAAATCGCAGTTTGCGATTTTCTGCTCATCTCTAGTTTCGACGACTTTGATTATGTGCATGCCAACGTTTATTGATTTCTGTATACTCTAGTTTTACATAATTATAAGATAACTGATGGTTTAAAATAAATTGTTACAAATGTTTATTAACAAATAATAGGCAACAATAAGGAGGTGTCATATTTTATTGATCTCTTTATTTTATTAGAAAAAAAGAAAACGACTGGCAGCCGAAGGTGTTTTGGAACACGACGACGAGTGCAGTCAAGGATCTGACAAGCCCATCGCTGTTATCGAACTTGCTACGGGAAAGAAACTATTTGGTGAAGATGCCCCATTAATGAGTCAATTACAGGTCTGGCTACAACAAAATCCTGGCTGGGAAATCGTCGATACCGACGACGAAGATGACGATTACGATGAACACGGTAAATTCTCGCCAAATTAGATATTTTTACGTTTTTTTCATTGGATTTGTTTGAATAATTTTAACTCAGATTAAATTAATGAATTATTTCCAAGAAAAAATAACACTACACTGTTTAATAAAACTTATTGAGCGATTAGAACTAATGAACAACTAGCACTAATAATTTATCTGTATGTGTCCCTACTAAAGGTGCCCATTCACATACAGTCCGCTGGCAGTCCAGAACTGTCGATTTGCATATCGTAAGTTAAAATTTCTCCATTACAGCAGATTACTTAAATCTCACGGCTGACTGAAGTATATGGCGAAAAATCGACAGTTCCCATCTTTTGACAAGTTGGAAGTTTTTTACTATCAAGATGAGCGATTTAAGTAATAATACGACTTTTTTAATCAATTTTATTGATTTGTATTTGTCTGTGGAAAATTAACAGTAAAGTTTATTCAAAGAGACAGGGAAAAAACTAAAGCTTATACAAAATTGCTGGAATTTTATAAAATTGTTGATGCAAATGCTACTATTGATTCGGTAAAGAAAAAAATAAACAATTTGCGAAGTGCTTTCCGAAAAGAACTTAAAAAGCACAAAAATCAAAGCGTTCGGGTGAATATTTTTTTGTATTTTTCTTTAATATTGTTGCGGACCCGTACCGTGTGAACTCGGCCTTAGGCTTGGCCACTCGGCTATGACTCATACGCCCACCGACGTTCGAAGAACGCCGCTAAGAATTTTCGAGATATGTCTGGACTGTCTGTTTCTCTCATATATAAGCTGTGATATAAGCCGATGCCCGAAACCTGAAGAAGATAGAGATAAATAACCGATCGACGCGTACAGTTACAATCGCCGCGCTAATTCAAAATAAATTTCTGTTAGATAAATTGTAAATAAGTTATAAATAGTTCTTTAAGTCTTTTAATCGTTATTGTTTTTGTTAATTAGTGTTAAATAAATAGTGTTTAAATAAATTGTGACTTTCTATCCACACGGAACCGACGAAAAACGTAACAATATTAAGGGCTTAACCATCTTTAAAAGTTTATTAAAACATGTGTCATCCATTCTGAGGTAGTTTTTAAGGTCATTTGTTGCACTAGTTCTTAATTTTCGCACTTTATTATGTCTAGTCTTCTGTCATTATGTTTAGTCTTCATATGAGATAATTGTATTACGTTGTAACAACCAATCTTTCACCCAGAAACGCTGTTTTGTCTTTGTAATTGGCTCTTACAATAACAAAAACACGAGAAGTGTATTTTTTGTATTTAAAAACATTTTTCACTTCAAGATCATTCAATTAAAACTGACGATATGTTTGTGTGTGTGGGGAAAGCACAGTGTTCCTTCAATTCAAAAACTGACAGTCCCAAAACTGAAGATCGCATCGTTCGATGTAACTGCCTTGTGTGTGACCTGAGAAAGTTTAGATCTTCAGTTCAGATCGTACAGTCCTAGAACTGCCGGCGAACTGTATGTGAATGGGTACTTTCAGGGCTAACTATTTAGGCGCGATTCTCACTCTAACGTACCGCCACCGTCACGTCGAGCCGCCGCACAGTGCTTCGTCCCATGGACAAAAATCGAAAAAAAGTTAAAATTTACTAATATCTAAATATGTAATTTCATACTTATAGCAATGTTCAACCATCCTGTATATTATTTTTCATAAACAGCGTTTTTTGTTAGCAAATATTTTCACTAAAAATAAATTTTGCGATCATTATCTTATATCAGGGAAAAGAATAACATTCATAGTAGTTCTGTATATGGAGTTAAACGGTACGTACTTAATTGAAAGCCACTATGGATATTGTTAAACAAGGTATGTACTTTAAATTTATTTCTAAACAAGTTCGTGATTGTTTAGTTTTTATTTATTTTTTAAGATGATTCTTAAATGGGTATAAAAATTTTACGTTTTCAAACTTCAAAAAGGCATTAAAAAAACATATCAAAACATATCGTATTTATTGAATATTTTTGTTGTCATATTCATACACTTTTAATTTTTGTATAGTTTACCTGCGTCTGCTTGCGACGAACTTTATTTTATAATACTTTTCAGATGGAGTAAAATTGATAAGCAATGCCGATCTGGTTATTACTTGGCTTGATCATAAGGACAAGAACTCAAAATTATTTGTACTTCAAAAAATGTGTTCTTTATTAGATATTGATGAACCTTCCAGTCCAATGAGACAACCACTTGTGCCTGAAAAAGTCCACTATGTTGAAGCGAAACGTGGCATAAAAAAGTTTCCATCTTTCAATTTATCATAAAACCACATACCCAAGAAAACGAAAAAATAATATATGGATATGGTCTATTAAAGAGGTAACTCCCGTAACTCCGTAATTAACATCCGAACCCCTCATACCAACAAAAAGAACAGTAACAACGCGAAAAAGTAACATATTGGAAAATGATGTACAGAAATATCTTATATGTGAGGATATTTCATCTACCTGTGATTTGGATACTATAAATTTGGAAGATTCTGTCAGCAGTGATTCTTCTGAATCAGAGTAGTTACGATCTATGCATTTTGTTGTCCTAAAGTAAATTTATAGTATTGTTACGTTTTTCGTCGGTTCCGTGTGGATAGAAAGTCACAATTTATTTAAACACTATTTATTTAACACTAATGAACAAAAATAATAACGATAAAAGACTTATAGAACTATTTACAAACGATTTATAACTAAGAATTTATTTTGAATTTTAGCGCGTCAACTGTATATTTATAACTGCCCTCTCTAGGTCCACTGCCGCCGGCTTTTATACCGACAGGTAAAAGAAATCTAGAATAGTCCAAAGATCGTTAGGCGCAAAGAGAAGATTTTCGAATGTTCTCGTATGTACGAGTCCATTCTAGTGGGTCTCGGTTCTTCTCGAACGAATGAATCATTGCGGTGTCTATGCGATGTTAAGGTCATCCGAGGGCGGGCCATATTGTGAGGTTAGGTCGAGTCCACACCGGCTCGCAACACTGCCCCCTTCTTAGGCACATGCTCGTCCCGAGATGTATACGGTGAATGAAGGTATTTGCAAAGCTGGCCCCTGGTACATTGCGAAGTCTGGTAGAAATAGCAGTCTACAGTTTTCTCTCCCGATCTCAGCTTTGGGTTGTAGCAGCAAACGAGGATCTCGATTCCCGTAAATCTGAACAAGACTTCAATCATGTTCCGGATTGTACGCCAACTCAAACCATCGAGTCCACACGCCAGCTTCGGAATGGCTAATCGTGCAATGTTGTTGTTTAGCAGGGCTTCTCTCAGTTCAATCAGGGTCTTCCATAGATTGAGATAAGTCGGCTTACTCGGGGACCATTCCTTGGTGACCAGGTAGAAGATGTGCCTTGCTTGACCATGTGCATTGTCGGTTAGCCTCAAGACGCTTCCAACCTCTGGATCCTGTCGGCGTAGTTCTCCGACACGCCCAAACTTCTCATTGAACGTCGCAGCGATTCCTCTGGACATCCGCAAATCTCGAGCCACACAATGAGCGAGCGAATAATCAGGAGGCACGGAAAAGAGGTCTCGTTGATCTTCTTTGGTTACACCATAGCGAGCCTTCTCACTGCTGTTGTATCGGGCCATGAAATCGTCAAAGGACATCTCCGAATCAGGGGGATCAAAGCTGCAGGTTCTCACGGTCCCAGCACGATCTTCTATTTCGCCTTGGTAGGGGCTCAAACGGTTGAAATGGACTACCCTCGGTTTTCCTTTTGGCAATTTTCTGATACGGTATACGACGTCATTAATTCTATCCATGACTTCGTATGGCCCTTCCCACGAGGATTGTAGCTTCGGAGATAACCCACGACGTCTCTGCGGGTTATATAGCCACACCAACTTCCCTGGTTGGTATCCTCCATGCTCAGCTTGAATGTCGTAGTGTTCCTTCATTCGGTCACTAGCACTTTGAATATTTAGGCGGACTCTCTGATGAATGTCGTCCATCCTTTGACGTAGTGTGTGGACATAATCTTCTCCGGCGACTTCTTCTCCCGGTCGGCAACCAAATTTCAGATCACAGGGTAGGCGCACTTCCCGTCCCATAACGATGCTGGCTGGAGTTTGCCCTGTAGATTCTTGGACGGATGAACGGTAGGCCAACAGGAACAGGTGAAGAAATTTGTCCCAGTCTCTTTGGTGGTCAGAGACTACTTTGGCCAGATAACGGTTGATAGTTCTGTTCATGCGTTCAACCATCCCATCGGATTGTGGATGTAGAGCAGTCGTCCTGGTCTTGCGGATGTTCAGGACTTCACAGACGCCTTGGAACAGATTGGACTCAAAGTTTCTTCCCTGATCTGAATGAAGCTCCATGGGAACACCAAACCTGCAGATCCATTCTTTAACAAGGGCATCAGCAATCGTGGACGCTTCTTGATTTGGCAACGCGTAGGCCTCGACCCATTTGCTGAAGTAATCCATTACTACCACAATGTATTTGTTGCCATCGTTCGTCTCCGGGAAAGGACCAGCCACGTCGATCGCTATTCGTTCGAAGGGACTACCAACATTGTACTGGCGCATAGGGGCTTTACCACGCTTTTGTGGCCCATTAATGGCTGCGCAAATGTCACATTTCTTACACCAGGCCCTCACATCTTCTTTGCAGTTCACCCAGTAGAACCGTTCACGCAGCTTGCCAAGTGTCTTGGTAACACCAAGATGTCCTCCGCTGGTTCCATTGTGAACTTCCTCCAAGACTTCTGGGACCCTCTTCTTTGAATGACGATCTGCCTTCTCTCTTCTTGTCCCTCCGGTCTCTCGATCACACGGCGAAGTAGTCCGTTATCTATTACCAAGGAATTCCACTGGGCCCAGTACGACTTTTTTACGTTCGGCGAATATCTGCAAACTTCTTCCCACGTTGGTCTTTGGCCTGTGTTTTTCCAGTTAATTACTAAACCTAATTCTGGGTCACTGGTTTGGTCATTTGCAAGATCTTCGGGTTGCCAACTATCATTAACCACAGTTGTTCTTAG